GGATTCGAGTTATAACCGAATATTGGTTAATTTCGACTTGTCGACAGTGTCGGCTGTTGCTGTTGGGGCGGGTGGTGATGAATGATGAGACTGTGGAGTACGAATCTGAGTACGAGATGGAGAACAAAGAGTGTTGGCATAACCAAGTCTCTGTTTCCAAGCTTGATGGGAATAGCCGAAGGCGATATTGCCTCTCTCTATCCCATTCGACGCCTAGACGTGCAGATGCAAGGCATTGTTCATACCTCCTGAAAGTTCCCTAGTAATTTTGGGAAACATTTTACCGAGGAATGTTATCTGCACCACAGCCACCCTCCCACCTCCCACCCCCCATCCCCATCCCCATCCCCATCCCCACCCACCCATCCCTTCCCCACTTCACTTCCCCATCCTTAGGCTGCAAACACAGTCTCAACACACATAGTTAATACCCAATTTTCATTTACGATGAATTCAAATCACATATCTTTGGCGGGTTAATAATAATCATTTATACTGCATTGTCTCAACTTCTTTCTAAATGTGGGCATACTTCCAGCATCTTGCACGAGACCTTACTCATTTTCCGCGCATCTAAAATAGGATTCACTTAACTATGCGCGTAACCGACTGATGATGTTAAGAGCTTTCAATCAATCGGGGCTGTTCGTACAGCACTTCGGTACACTGCACTTAGGATAATTTTAACGGGGAATTATTTTCCCGCTCCCTGAAAATAAGTTCCATAGTATTCCGGATTATTCTTACTACCATTAGAACTCATCTACTATTTAGATCTATTCCTGTCCGGACTAAACCTTCAGCGGAACAGATCATCGTTTACACAGATACTGACACAGGCTGGTGTAGAAGGGGCAATTAAAAGGGGTTTGGAGCCCAGCACACAATTTATTCCAAGATTTGCATTTAATTGAAAAAGAACTGTTTCTAATGCATGTAACAAAATTTAATTGTGATCTGTAGTTATTGGGCTGTCAATAATTTCGGATCTAACATGGGATAAGTTGCCTGGTGAGTATCAGTCCCACGAGAGTTCAAGTATCTGCGCATCTGCGGAAGTCCAGACCGCAAGTCTCGCTTAGCTGAGGCTGTAATCGTATACATAGTCAAACTGATTTATACCGCTTAAAAGATTGACACGGCAGTGAACATTAAACCAACTCAACATCAGCCTAAATGCAGCTTTGAAATTGGAACGGAATACCTCGTTATTCAAATAAATGCACTGACGTCGTGGTCGTTTGAGAGTGGCATTGACACCAAGCAAATGGATGTAGGGCACTATCTCCAGTGCAGCACCAGTAAACTGTTTCAAGCTATGGCATTTTGTAATTTTCATGAACATAGAATTTTTAAATTACTCAATGTTACACATATTATTCGGACTAAAACGTCAACGCCAGAGAATATACGGTCTCGATTATCTGCCGAAACAGTTTCCGTTTGATGTTAAGGACAAAATAGTGGTGAAAATTACAGGAATGGATCAGTGAAAATTAGTGATGGCTGTTTTAATAACTCACCTAAACACTTCTTTTATTGCTGACTCAGCATATTTGGAATCAAAAGATGTTGGGTGTTTTTTTTCGAAAAGTCGTCATCATACTGTAAGTGATGCATAAGTTTTACGGGTGGACCATTCTGATATTATTTGCTCACGGTTCGACGAACAGATACTGTGATACACGGAAGAAAGTTAATCGTGGCTTGAAGCCGAGAACAGTTAAACCTGGTTCGTGCGCACGCGCCATCTTCCATCTATATACACTACCGGGCAAATGAACGTATACGCCCATGTTTCATGGTGGCTAAAATGAAACAAAAAGGAAATGGTTATTCGATGGGGATATATACTACAAAAAAAAGGTTACGTTCCACCCGATTCCTTTATGTTACTATAGTTAATATGTCATGGTATGATAATTTGAAAGAGTCGGGTGGTACTTAACCTTTTTCAGTAGTATATGTGATACGGTGATAATAGTGTTTTGAACCTCAAGAATACAGCGTTTCGTTTTGATTACGTTTGTAATTTGGTTGTTAAATCAAAGATGCAAGTGTAGTTTATTATGAAAGGGCCATTACAAGACGTCAAGGATTCGTTAATTAATATTTTGCTTCCTGAAAACATCACTTGGAACTTCACTGTCCTCAATTACGTGAGATCACTTGCATAGACAAGAAGGTTACGCCCTTTGTCTACAAGAACGCTGTCTTCAACTTGTGTGGGTGGTTTGTTTGTTTGTCGGGATCTTTATAAAACAAAACATGTCAATAACAATTTGAAATCACTTGCTGAGACCGATGGGAAAAGCATCATGCTCCACATCATCTTGATTATATTAGCTTCGTGGGTGGGGAAAGTCAATGATTAGAAATCTGTCGCACAAATCACACACGGTCATTAACTGTGCATTCTGGCATCAACCAGCACAGTGGCGCGATACAGATATATCGACGGACCACATCCGGGCAAACTCGACCACGCCACGACTAATCAGCAACATCAACGTCGATGACCAAGGTATCAATGGTGCGTTATTATCTTCAAGAACTACAGGCTTACACCATTATCCAAGTCATCTATGTATTATGAATAGAGTATTGATGTCATGCCATACCCCGTCGCTTGGCGAATAGTTCTCGACAATGGCGTTCATTAAGTATTTACATTCAAGAAATAATGAATATATTGCTTTGACTTCTGTGTTTACAGATGTACATTCAGATAACATGTTTGGGCTTGGGAAATAAAACACACAATACAGTCCTTGTCGCGTCTCGGATTTATTTCGACTGTGACATTTACATACTTTAGACTACTTAGCCAAATTCCGGCGTGTACATCTTCCTGGTTCGTGAGATAGGCATGAAGCTGTTGTACTGTACATCGTGAGCCCATCCTTCAATTACCAAACCCATTTGGATTCCCTTGATAAGGAATTTTCCACACTACCTTAAAGTGAAAATTTGAACAATAGCCAGACAATGAAAAAAATTGTAATTTGACCTTTCTAACACGAGGTGTTGTTGAATAATAGAGTGTTTAGGAGAAAAATGTGAAATGAAAGCCAGATGGTGGTTGCTGACAATTTACACGAGTTTTAGAGCAACATTTCTTCCTGTTGAAATGCAACAATTAAGCTGAAGTCTTTGATAGGCATTTAGAAGTTGGAAGAAAGTGAATATATGACACTTTTTATGGATTGCAACTTCTTTTATTCTTTGTCGAGATGATGAAGGAGCTTGATGAGGAGCAAGAAGTACCTCTGAAACGTCATGACAGAGAATAAAAGAGGTTGCTATCCATAAAAAGTGTCAGATAATTGACATGTTTTAGTGATAGTCTTTCGGGGTCATGTCGGACAGAGTAACGCGTGGTCTAAGACGCCAGGTTATATGCGTGTATGTATACCAGTAACGTTTGTGTTTGTGACGACGACATACGCTGCTGAATGTTTCAATTACGACACCATACACAGGAGTGAGTTGGTTTAACGCCTCTTTGAACAGGTTTCTAGTTTCATTACAGCGTGTCATACATACTTTACTCTATTGGCTTTTCTGACCACAGGCTGTGACATATGAAGATCATACATAAATATATTGAGCTCAGTGAGGCTGGAGATTTAAAATCCAAAGAATCAAAATCGATGCGTCTGGGATTCGAAATAAGCGAATCCTGGGACGGCTAAGGTATGTAACTCTGCAAGGTTGATCATCCGTATCTCCCTGCACTGAGGTTTGAAGAAACTTGGTTCCAGGCACAACTCGTAATCTCTCATGGCCAGTGAACAATGCATACATCATTGATTAATGACATACGACAAAGTGAGCGGGGTGGTGCCACGGATCCCTCTTCTTCACTGTCCTCAACACTGTTTGCGAGACTGAGAAATGAGCAGGTGAAATGACATCAGAGTTACTTAGCACCCCATGCTTCAGAACTGACAACCAATGAGTCCTATCTCTTCCAGGGGCCAGCCACGGTCTGTCGTCTTCTGGGATACAATCAGATCCTTGGCCAAGTCCCAGTGGTACTGAAGGCACACAGCGGAGGAGCAAGATTGGGTATTTACTGCCATTAAATGCATTAGCCCATGCTTAGAATCTATGTTTAAGCAGAGGAAAGTAAATGGGTCTTTCAGTAACATATCATTCAACAACTCCCTAATTTCGCTAACGGGATCGGGCGGTCAGTCAGAATGGATTTGTAAATTGTATTATGTTTAAAGATAGACATATTGCCCCAGGAAAGGTACGTAAATATTTAACATGTATATCAAATCACGCGGTTAATACAGGAAGGATGTTTCCTTCTAGCAGATCGTTAATAATGCCCACTATGTTTAAAACGTGTTGAAAAGGAATTATATTTGTTTTTGTTTTGTGAGTTGTATGAAGACATAGGGACCTATATATACCTCATAAATACAATACACATAGAAACCATGGTTCCTATAAAATACGAACTCTGTTTCTACATGCCAAGCTATAATGAGTGAGTTTGGTTTGACGCCGCTTTTAGCAATGTTCCAGCAATATCACGGCGGGGGACACCTGAAATAACATTAAAAGACATAAACTTCAGGATTACTTAATTGTAATATGATGACCTTCTGAAGTTGTACTGAGATTGTGCTGCTCGTGAAGACCCGGGATAGAATAGGTCTTCAGCAACCCATGCTTGCCGTAAAAGGCGACTATGCTTGTCGTAAGAGGCGACTAAGGGGATCGATCGGGTGGTCAGGCTCGCTGACTTGGTTGATCATGTCATCGTATCACAATCGCGTAGATCGACGCTCATGATGTCAATCACCGAACTGTATGGTGCTGATTCCATTATTTACAGACCACCGTCAAATAGCTGGGATATTGCGGAGTACGGCGTTAAACAACTTTGCCAGACAAGCCAGTGATTAACAGCATGAGCATCGATCCTGTGATATGTAAACCGATGATGTGTGAACACTCCCATAACACAGAACCAACACACGCAATACATGTATAGTGACATTTTATTTCATAGTGAAGATGAAATCTCCATAAGTCAAGAGCAAAATAAACCAAATAAAAAAACAAATACGTCTGTTGATAAGCCTGAGATTGACATTACATATGATCACAAGGACAGATTAAGGTATTTGGTCCAATAGATGGCTAGAGAAGTGCTGGGCCGGTAGCTCCCTGTTAAAGGGACACCACCATCAGATTCAAGCCTTATACATCATGTGGCAAGAGCATGCAGTTCCTCCCCTGAAGGTTCCTTGTCCCACTGTCCCATTTCCTTCAGAATATTGAAAATGAAACACAGACGTATTTCTCCACATATCCACGTTTAAGTAATCAAATATTCGTTTTAATGCAAAAAAACAACAATACAAATTACAAGTTCTTGAGGAATTTCTCAGTGAAAAGTGATCAATTGTATACTTATTTCATAAGGTATTTTATATCAACAGCATAATTTAGAGGCACCTTGATCTAACCCAAGTGTTTTCAGTCCAACTTATGCCAACATAATTCTCCTAAATCACAGGCCACAGAAAAGTAGTATACATTTTATCACCTAACCCTTTTTAATGATAATGTTTCAGTAGAATGTTTAGTTTGGGGAATTCCATAGATCCCAATGCTTCAAGGAGTAAATACATGTCTGCAATCATGCACCTTCAATTACCTTCAATTAAAACAGTGAAAGTCAGGAGGTATCAATTATGTGCCAGAGGATTGTATTATCAAGTTGATTGTCCCACATTAAAACTGATTTAATATTCATCGGATTTCAAAATTATAATGGTATGACATGCTGATTCAAGTTCAAACAGTTTGTCAATATGCACAAACCTTGACATTTAGGTTTGTTGTTTTTTTCAATATGGTTCCACCTGCTCTCAAACTTCAGCCCTTTGACATTTCCCATCTCGGGGAAGACCTGTAATGCTGTGATCATAACATTTCCCATTTGTTGAAGTATACAGGCTTGGCATATAGACTTACTGAATATCCTCACAAAGTGCCATTTAGACTCACTGCAACAACCACATCATTTCAACTCACTGAATTGCAGCAATGTTGACAAATAAATATTTTCTATCAGACTCTTATTTCACTACATCTAAAATCCAAATATTCCAACCTTTACATGTACTTATGATTACTCTTGTTTTTTTTATCTAGGGGAGAAAACCCAACTAAACAATCATTTAAAAAATTATGATTTGGCACAAACATGCTTGATGATCTGATCCCTAGAACCTGCATCCATTATTGTCACTGCTCCTGCACCAGTCAATTCTATCTGTGAACAAAACTGCTGGTTCTCCTTACATTGGAGCACAAGGCCCTAAACCATTAACTGCAGGCCAAACTATTTTGTTTTATTAACATGCATACACTACATTTGCTGTTTCATTCGAAATATTCTTCTTTAGAACACCCTTTTGTTTCTATCATTGAATATGTTTTATATACTACACAAAAGACGCTAACGACTACCCAATCTTGTTAATCTGTCATGGCAGATACTGTTCTTGCGTAGCTTACAACTGACTTAAGCTTTTATTCATGATAACCCTTCTTCTCACCTCTAGGTGGTTACTTGTACAGGGCACAAAAGCCCCTCCTGTTTCACATAAGCTAGCCAACAGCACATAGGCAGTTTTAACTAGGTACTGGTATCGACAAGACAGAAATGACCACACACAAGCATTAAAGCAGTGAAGTGATTGCCGCTCTAGAATCATACCACACTGACAGAAGGAAACACTGTCAACACAGCAGACATCTATATATGGTAGGCAGTGCAACTGATGTTACAGTAGCCCAAGTAGGGAGTATTTAAAACCTGGTGTGGCAGCTGTTAATCTGTGCAGAGTTATTTCCCCTTATCATAAATATACTACACTCAACAAATGATGAGATAATTTCACAACAATAAAATCTACACAACAAGGTATCAACGTTTAAGCAAGTATTATTTTCATGTTTCTACCCCAACCATATATCAAAATAGCCAGAAATTATGCATATTTGGATGGGTTCCTTCTAAAGCAAAAAGTATTCCTTGGCCATGCTCCACAGTGAAGCTCAAGGGATCTAACAACATGGGTATTGCATTTTGTGCCATAATGAAGCAACAGATCATGTTTTTTACTTGTAGACTTCAAAATCAACCATTCTGTGAACATCGATAGAAACTGATGAAAAAGCATTTGAATATGCTATTAATGAATACAAATACAATATGGAGCAGTCTCTCGGGACTTCATTGAACATAATACTGCACTAACACCAAATGTATTCTGAAAATGCATACCCTGATGATTATCAAACATGCTTCCATTACCATGACCATCTCAAACATGATAACGAAAGTACGAAAATGTACACACGTCGGCCTTGACATTCTGTCAGTACAGACAGCATGTTAATCTGATGAGACCTGGACATCAAGGAAGGATGCGGTGACCATCATCAAGTTGGGGAGGATGTCACTGGCAGGGGGTCACAGAAGCCCAAACTACCACATCACATATATCACTCACTGTACACCACCAACATAGACACATTCCTAACATTCCCGCACTGTCAATTCATAAAATTATTATTTTCCATAATTACTCCGAATGTTTTTTTTCTGAAAACAACACTTACGGAACACAATAGTAAATACATGTAATTTCCATCAATGACATTTCATTTCAGTTTCACATAGATTACGAAAATATCTTTCTCCACAAATAGAATATCAACCTTCAGAAGGGATATGATTAATCAGAATAATCAGAATACTTTACCTACATAAGATATATTGCAATCTAATGTATATACCAGTTAACTATCCGGTGAAAACAGGTGTGCAAAATATTGTTTTCTCTACTCCTAAAATTTCATGTGGATATAAAAATATACATAGCTTTCTCCATTAGGTATGGAAGGAACACTGGCGATGCCTGCTAGGTCTGCCCACTACTGAGGACAATGCTTTCATAATGACCATTTGATTCACCCTAGATGCAGAGCTGGGGGAGTATTATATTGTTTATGTTGACTAGTTACATACATTAGATTATATGGTCTTCCCTAGTATTGTACATGCAGAAATATTGCAAGGAAATTTCTCAGCCTCATCCTATTTTATCATATGAATAAAGAGTAGGACTACTTATCAATAATGTTTCATGTTATCAGATTTTATTTCCCTAATTTCACACACTACTATGAACATATATATATATTTGATAAAACCAACACAAGGACCAGACATGCAGTTATCAGTGATCACTGAGGACAGACAAGCCATTTTCAGTGGTCATCAAGGACAGACAAGCTATTGTCAATGGTCACCGAGAACAGACAAGCTGTTGTAAATGGTCACCAAGAACAGAAAAGCTATTGTCCGTGGTCACTGAGGACAGACAAGCCATTTTCAGTGGTCATCAAGGACAGACAAGCTATTGTCAATGGTCATCGAGAACAGACAAGCTGTTGTAAATGGTCACCAAGAACAGAAAAGCTATTGTCCGTGGTCACTGAGGACAGACAAGCCATTTTCAGTGGTCATCAAGGACAGACAAGCTATTGTCAATGGTCACCGAGAACAGACAAGCTGTTGTAAATGGTCACCAAGAACAGAAAAGCTATTGTCCGTGGTCACTGAGGACAGACAAGCCATTTTCAGTGGTCATCAAGGACAGACAAGCTATTGTCAATGGTCATCGAGAACAGACAAGCTGTTGTAAATGGTCACCAAGAACAGAAAAGCTATTGTCCGTGGTCACTGAAAACAGACAAGCCATTTGCTGTGGTCATCAAGGACAGACGAGCTATTTTGTCAATAGTCACCGAGAACAGACAAGCTATTGTCAATGGTTATTGTGGACAGACAAGCTATTGTCAACAGTCATCGAGTACAGACAAGCTAATGTCAATGCTCAACGAGGAGAGACAAGCTATTGTCAATGGTCATTGAGGACAGACAAGCTACTGTCAATGGTCACTGAGAAGAGACAGGCTATTGTCAATGGTCACTGAGGACAGACAAAGTATTGTCAATGGTCACTGAGGACAGATAAGCTGTTGTCAATGGTCACTGAGGACAGACAAGCTATTATCAGTCATCACTAAGGGGAGACAAGCTGTTCTCAATGGTCACTGAGGACAGACAAGCTATTATCAGTGATCACAAAGGAGAGACAAGCTGTTGTCAGTGATCACTGGTAAGTAAATGATTCTGTTAACTGCATTAAGTCAAAAAAGAAATCTGTTAATATGGCAGCTTAACAATAATATAGCTATACAGCAGATTAATGTCATACGATAAAAAGGCCATTTACTAATATCAAAATGTAAACAAAAATGTTAACATCCTCAAAAGCCCAGAGAAAAGCCTAATAAATGATGTGGTTCCTTCAGGAAAAGGAGAGACACCTCTCCAATTATGCATGGCTCTGTCTGGGAAATCAACATGGCAAAGAGTATGTGTCTCTATATCCTAAGTCAAATTTATTCAGTCGTCATGACAACACAACAACACTGGCAGGTTCTTCACAGATTGTTTGACAACATAACATCTGTGATTGAAATGACTTGATTGTTTGGCCAAATGGGGAGTATTAAAAAATCACAGCAACAAAGCAGGATTGGCAACTAAAAAACATTATTTTTAACATTATTTAGGGTAAGGGACTGGTCATAAAAAATGTTACTTAATTTGGGGGTGGGGTGGGCAGCAAAATATGATACAGTCCTAAGACCATTCTCCCCCACCAATATATAAACTACCAGTCCCTTATGATTTTTGTCTTGCGTTATCTGTCCTGTTGGCTATAGGCATAACATACTGATTTCAATATGTGCTTATTTGGGCTAATGGGAAAAAGGTTTGGCAGAAACTATTGGATACAAATGTTTTTTGACAAGTTAATCAAGTATTGTCTCAATGCTCAACCCAAGTTCAACAATTATGAAAACAAGACACAACATGTAACTAATATGCAAATTCTGAGTTTTGATTGACATCATACTCATGTCATGTTAGTTTCCTACAAGGTATAATAATAAATATGCGATGACTATGTGATGAACGAACTGGATAGCCTATGCTTACACATAAAAATAAAATATGAATTCAGAAATATCAGCTCTTCACTGCAAGTTTACGATAAATGGCTACATGAACAAGCATAACTTGTCGATAGGGAAACAGTATATGACAGCAGTACATGTCTGAAGACACTCTCATATATAGTCAGTTGTTCCACTAGCAGTGTGTGGTGGTGCAGTACAATAAGAGCACTACGTCCACAATATCACACCAACGAATAATGATGAACTCAGTATATGATGGATACAATACAGGCAAAATACATTGTGACCTGGAGAAATGAAATGAGTAACCACAGTAACGCAATCATGCTATAAGTACATGAATGCATGTACAGAATGGGAAATTAGTTCTAATGAAGAGTAAATGTTACTGAAGTTATCTCCCTTGTGGGCAGACAACTCCTGTGCGGCAACTCAATTACCAGCTTTATACTAACATACAATAAATTAGTGACTGTGTTATGTGTTGGATGAAGTTTGAAAGTAACTTGTTATCTAAACATTCAGATCAGACAAGACCACAGCTTAAGATAAACACAGAAGTACACACATTGTACAAAGCAAAATGACAACAAACTACCCCTTACAGGTACACACATTTAAAATAAATAAAATGAGAGTACTATAAAAAAAAGTTTTTTTTTATAAAATACAGAGTATATTTTTAGGATACATACAAAGTAATGAAGTTACCCATCAAAATAAAATTGAAAACAGCAAAAGAAATTGTAAGATAATGTCCTCAGACAGAATATCAATCAGATTAAACAAGGATTTATTGGTCAGTTTTAACATCTGTCTCTTAACTCACTCGAGTGGCAGTAACCATCTTTTACATAAACATTTCATGAAGTTGAACCTCCTTGTGATAGCTTATTTCATCCAAACACATGTTGCGCTGATCCACTTCCTGACAATTTGGCAAACACTGGTCCACACTTAAGCTGAACCACTTCACAACAGCTGCTGCCATGTCCACACTTAAGTTGAACCACTTCACAACAGCTGCTGCCATGTCCACACTTAAGTTGAACTACTTCACAACAGCTGCTGCCTTGTCCACACTTAAGTTGAACCACTTCACAACAGCTGCTGCCATATCCACACTTAAGTTGAACCACTTCACAACAGCTGCTGCTATGTCCACACTTAAGTTGAACCACTTCACAACAGCTGCTGCCATGTCCACACTTAAGTTGAACCACATCTACATTTCACCTTATCATAATTTCCTTCCTGTTTTGTAGCTGATTACAAGACTGTCTGGAGTGAAAGAACGAGGCACTAGATGGAAAACTCCCAACTTCAACTAAGGTATGCCACAACAGAAACTGTGTTGTAAACAAGAATGCTTGCGGACATATCTGACATAGAGTCTGCTACTTCAGTCAAGCTGTAGGTGCACAGGTGATGACCGAAATGTAGGTGGACACTGGTGGACACTGTAGTTTACACCCAAGGTTCTGCTGGCTCATGTTGTTTGTAATGTCCGTGCTAAGTATGCCATAGCACAAGTGGTCTTTCACATTAGTTCTGTCTACAGGGCAAATCCCTATAGCACTTCGAGTTGGCAACTACCCAACAAGCAGGACAAATGCATAATGATGTTCAGTTGTATGTGTTTTCATATTCTCTTTAATACAAGCCCCATCTGCAGGAAACAATATCAAAGCTGTCCATTCAAAAAACTAATAGTTATTTACACAAAGCCTTCCAAGAGGGCAAAAGCACAAAACATTTGGAAGCTTATTTCAACTTGATTCACAGGGACAACAAAACATTGTGTCTTTATCTGTTGCCAGAGTCTAAACGGACAGAAGCTGGAAGAGCAGTGTTCACCTGCTACTACAACACACTCCTCGGGGAGAAGAACTCGGTGCAGGCCAGTGTAAGCTTGGCACACTCTGCTGACACACAGCACCAGAGATGCAACAAATCGCACTGCTAGAACAGACAAACACAGACTCAAACATAGAATATAAAATGTTTCGTCATGTAAATCCCACATGCAGATGATGTTCAGTCACTCTCATCACTGTCATCCAGTAGTGCCAAGTCCACTTCTTTAATAAGTCCATTGCGGACGGCGTGTTCAATGATGGCGAGGTGACAGAAGACATACTGGTCGGGCATCTGGATGCTGTAGCAGCGCTGGCTACGGATGCGTCGCACCGACTCCTGGACATCCACGGTGCCGATATCCTCCAGTCTCCGCAAACAGATGTCTATGGTGATGAATGTTCCTGAAACACAACCATGTTAAACTTCAACACTGTTTCCTGATGGGCTGAATATAGAGCAGGTAGTGCAACTTAAGTACACATGAACTAATCAAGGAGATGTCTGCAGTGATGAATGGTCCTACAAAACAGGGCCATGTAAAACTTCAGTTGTTTTTGTTTCCTGTTTGATATTTAACGCCGCACTCAGCAATATTCCAGCTATGTGACGGCGATCTGTAAATAATCAAGTCTGGACCAGACAATCCAGTGACTGATATCATGAGCATCGATCTACGCAATTGGCATACAATGACATGCATCAACCAAGTCAGCAAGTCTGACCACCCAATCCCGTTAGTCGCCTGTTATGGCAAGCATGGATAGCTGAAGACCTATTCTACCCTGGATCTTTAACTTCAGTGAGTATGAAAATCTCAGACTTCAATATTAGTGAATGTTCCTACAAAACACAACGATGTTAAACTTCAGTAAGTATGAAAATCTCAGACTTCAGTAGTAGTGAATGTTCCTACAAAACACGACGATGTTAAACTTCAGTAAGTATGAACTACTCAAACAGATGTCAATGGTGTGTGTCGTGGCTAAAACTTTGCAGGTGGATTCTGACTGTGGGGTCTTACTATCACTCATTGTCACAATGTGCGGACTTATTGCATTGACAATGATGGAAAGTGTTTATTGCTGCAGATGTTCAGAACCAAACCAAACAACAATGTGAAGTGAGATTTACTCAATGTTAAAGTTAACATCATATAATTGTCCTCGACAAGGAGTACACAACAAACCTGTTCTGCCAATGCCAGCACTGCAGTGAACAACCATTGGTGGGCCTCGAGGATGTCCCTGCCATCCTCCCCCCATGAATTTAGTCGCTTCCTCCTGACACTGTCGTGCATGGAAGAGAAAGTCTAAGAAAGTTGTTGCAGGGGGTACACCAAAGTCAGGCCAGCTGGTGAATTGTAGATGAGTTATCTCCCTTGACTCTCCAGTCTGAAAATACAAAACTATATTACTTCCTGTCTCCCGTGGCCTGTGTTTTCAGCATATTCTTGTGGAGGAATAGTTTCATCTACCAGAATACAATCAACTTTAAAACCGTTTTATACTTAATTTAACGCTTACAAGATATCTCCTGCCCTTTTAAAACATGTGTATAAAATTGACAAAAATATATGTTATATATAATTATCTCCTTATACTCTAAAAAGGTTAATCCTAAGCTTGTGAGTACATTGGACATTATGATTGATTATCAGTTGTTTCCCTCCATTCATTAAATGGTTTCTATACCTTCCAAAGATTGGAACCTACTGTAACCCAGAGTCCCAACAGGGCTCTACAATATTGAAAGGCCTTTTACGAGTTATGCTCAAACAAACTCCACTCTCATTTGAACTTAAGTCCCAAATTTATTCCTGATTTACAAAAGGCACCAGCACTTTCCTAATGCATATACAAAGATTCACAAATAACAAACATCTTAGGAGTAATGCACTGGAAATTATCCCTACCCTCATTTGAACCAAAGTCCAACTTGTTGCCTTAGAAATGCAACAAATACAAATTTCAAAAATTCCTGAATAGCAAAAGTCATCAGTTTAAATTGATTGAAATTATCCCCACCCTCATTTGAACCAAAGTCCAACTTGTTGCCTTAGAAATGCAACAAATACAAATTTCAAAAATTCCTGAATAGCAACAGTCATCAGTTTAAATTGATTTGGGGGTGTGAGGGATGGGAGGTATCTTGCCTAAGATATTGATTCCCCAGGTAAGGTCTAGTAGGCTATTTCATCCCTTGGGTAGAACTGGCCAGGTGAAGGTTTTTATGAGTGAGTTGGGTTTAACTCTGCTTTTAACAGTATTCCAGTTATATCACAGAGTGTCAGCTTAATGTGGGAGGAAAGCCTGAAGTGATGCAGGTCTTGGACGTTTACTACTTTGATGAAACCCATGAGCACAGGTACGGTGCTGACCAGGATTCGAACCCACAATAACAAGATTCTGGCATGCACAAGGGACGCGACTCTGCACAGAAAATTGCGGCACCATAGACGATTGGGCCACCAGGGCTCCTACTGGATTTTATGAGCTGAGCAGTGATGTCAAATACATTCCCCGAACACCATGCTACTCACACATGCCAATCCTGAGAGTAATGAACATGATCAAGATTGCTTTCCATTCACATTTGCATGGAAATTAACTTTTGGCCTTGAAACAAACCCCTCTTTGAATTTTTGCAACTGTGAATGGGCAAGCAGAATCACATGAAACATGTCAACATTATGTCCTTGTTGGCAGCCAACGGACTTGTATGCATTGCAAGACAGGGACAGGCCAGTGAGACAATAGGATTCTATAAGAGTAGGAATGGTACATACCTTGGTGTTATGCAAGAGAAGCTTAGTTTCAGTGTAGTCTTTGCGTGTACTGATACCATTGTTGTAGACAATAAACTCCTCAAACTGCTCGTCTGTCTGCTCCTCGTTGGGCCAGTACTGGCCACATTTCATCCTCTGTCGCTCAATTGTCCTGAAACAACAGAGCTACCCATTTACCCAACACATGTACTGCAAGACCAACACACCATTCAGAGATGGGACATCCAAGTCAGACTGAAAACAACAGAGCTACCCATTTACCCAACACATGTACTGCAAGACCAACACACCGTTCAGAGATGGGACATCCAAGTCAGACTGAAAACAACAGAGCTACCCATTTAACCAACACATGTACTGCAAGACCAACACATCATTCAGAGATGGGACATCCAAGTCTGCAACAGCAGGGTCAGTCATTTACCCAATTCATGGTTTGCAGATGAATACATCATTAAGTATATTCTCAAGTGTGTTCATGTGGAGAGATATTGTCAACAAGGCATGATACACCATCATGACCATGACTAGTTGGGGGCAGCGTAAGTTAGTTTCATGAGATTATTACTGAAGCTAGGTTATAAGAATTAGTGATTCAATGACATCCCAGAAAATGTGTATCTTTTCCAATGATAATTGATGAGGTGAGGTGAAATGCGGTTTAACATCAAGTTTAATAATATTATGCTTATATAGTGATGTGTGCTTGAGTGAGTGAGTGAGTGAGTGAGTGAGTGAGTGAGTGAGTGAGTGAGTGAGTGAGTGAGTGAGTGAGTGAGTGAGTGAGTGAGTGAGTGAGACGCTTTTAACAATATTCACGCCAATCTCATTAAAATCAGATCTAAGTTCTCCTGCCGCTAAACAAAGATCTGAGAACATCCCATTACAGGTCACGTCCTTTCACGAACTTTGACCAACCACTGAAACGACTTACAAGATGTTGACATCAGCCAATTTGAAAGTAGCTTTCTTGAGCTTTACGGCACTCATTTCAACCTACAACTTCCATTTCAGGCTATGCTTAAAAAATATGCTGCCACAGTTCTCGATTAAAATTTTGAAAACTGAACAAACATACATTCCGGAATGTCTAATATATGGTTGAGATTGTATGACAGTGCTTCCCAAGTACTGTGCAACGCCTCCTCCGTTGATCCGACGGAAGCAAGAGATAGATGATAATTTTGACGGAATCAGTCGTACGAGCCGTAACTGTCGTTGGGAAGCGACGCTTTGATTGGTCAGATGTAAGGTCGTTCTGACGTGACCCGTAAAGGAATGTCCTCAGATCTTTGTTTAGCTATAGCGAGAACTAGGATCTGATTTTAATGAGATTGTATTCAAGCGGGAGACACCAGAAATGGGCTTCACATATCTGTTTCAGGGGAAGGATGTTTTAACACATTTTTCATGTTGATAGTTAAATCAATTATAAATGTGTCTACATCTATCAGAGAAGGCTCTGTTCTCTTAACTAGGTGTTTGCAGTGGTCATAAACTATTTACAATGATATTGATTTTTCTAGTTGTATATTTGTTTTTCTAATCCATCAAAGAATGAAAGGTCGTTCCAATAAATATAAATTTCGAGTAATGTTATAGGATTTTTAATAATGTGGCTTTGGGTAGATTCATTAACTGACAAATCTAGTGTCACCTTATCCATTGTATACAGATGTCAAATCCAAGCTGTAACGTTACCATGGTTACAGTCATGGCTACAGTCATGGTTAATTGTGATAACAAAGGACTTCCAGTGACACAGTTTCCTTGTTGGAAAAGACAGAAACAGAGCACCTTCTTCCTGATTGAGGGTCATTGTAGAGGGGGGAAATCAAGGACAATCAACGACTTTCTCTCACCTTGTTGTCATGACGATCACTTGACACTGGTAATTCCACACCATGGACCAAAAGTCCACAAATGTTTTGGGTAATGGACCTAATAAAAGACAAACAGAATACATATTCTATATACATATCTATTTCACTGTCATTTTAATTATTCATAACTGACCATTTATTGGATCAATGGGAGGAATAGAAATAGAGTAATTGGTATGTTTAATTAAACTGACAAGTAGTAAATGAAAATTTGTGTGTGTGTGTGTGTGTGTGTGTGTTAGAGTGTGTTAGTGTATGTGTGTCATGTATCATGTGTGTGTGTCTTGTGTGTGTCACGTATCATGTGTGTGTGTCATGTATCATGTGTGTCACGTATCATGTGTGTCTTGTGTGTGTCACGTATCATGTGTGTGTGTCTTGTGTGTGTCACGTATCATGTGTGTGTGTCTTGTGTGTGTCACGTATCATGTGTGTCTTGTGTGTCACGTATCATGTGTGTGTGTCACGTATCGTGTATGTCATGTATCATGTGTGTGTCTTGTGTGTGTCATGTATCATATGTGTGTCTCTTGTGTGTGTCACGTATGTGTGTGTGTCTTGTGTGTGTCACGTATCATGTGTGTGTCATGTATCATGTGTGTGTGTCTTGTGTGTGTCACGTATCATGTGTGTGTCACGTATCATGAGCGTGTCATGTATCATGTGTGTGTGTCTTGTGTGTGTCATGTATCATGTGTGTGTGTCTTGTGTGTGTCATGTATCATGTGTATGTCTTGTGTGTGTCACGTATCATGTGTGTGTGTCTTGTGTGTGTCACTTATCATGTGTGTGTCATGTATCGTGTGTGTGTCTTGTGTGTGTCACGTATCATGTGTGTGTGTCTTGTGTGTGTCACGTATCATGTGTGTGTTTTATGTGTGTCACGTATTATGTGTGTGTCATGTATCATGTGTGTGTCTTGTGTGTGTCATGTATCATGTGTGTGTCTTGTGTGTGTCACGTATGTGTGTGTGTCTTGTGTGTGTCACATATCATGTGTGTATCATGTATCATGTGTGTGTGTCTTGTGTGTGTCATGTATCATGTGTGTGTGTCTTGTGTGTGTCACTTATCATGTGTGTCATGTATCATGTGTGTGTGTCTTGTGTGTGTCACATATCATGTGTGTGTGTCACGTATCATGTGTGTGTGTCTTGTGTGTGTCACGTATCATGTGTGTGTGTGTCTTGTGTGTTACGCATCATGTGTGTGTCTCTTGTGTGTGTCACGTATCATGTGTGTGTGTCATGTATCATGTGTGTGTCATGTATCATGTGTGTGTCACGTATCATGTGTGTGTGTCATGTATTATGTGTGTGTGTGTGTCTTGTGTGTATATATATATATATATCTTTCAGCTATGACTGCTGCAAATAAAAGCAACAAAACCATTTCAATAATCATATGAAATTTTGCTAAAATCCATGTTGAAGTTTACATGTATACAGGCATACAAATCCCACTAAAAGTGCTCTGTAGAATATCCCAGGTATTAAACACATACATCATTATATATGTAGATAGTCAGAAGTATTTCCCCAGGTTTCGTCTGCCAAGTGTTTATTGGAATGGTAAACTCACCCTGTGTACTGATGTAAGAGTTTTTCTGCATGTAGCCGTCGACAAAGTTGGCGTTGATGTAGTCGGAGGTGGGGTCTGCATCCATGACAGGCAGGACAACACGACTATGGTCGAAACACAGCACATCGGTGTAGCGATTCTTTGGCAGATTGACACGAGCTCTGGAACAAGAAATGTACTTAACACAACTTCAACAGACGCCATACATTTGTCACTGTTTTACACTTGGAATGATCAGCATATGTACAAAAAGTTTGCCCTAAAACATGAATATTGGGATAATTAGGGACATAAAGTGTGTGTTTGTGTTTGTCGTATTTTGCCGCAGTCAGAAATATTCTTGTCATATGACAGCAGTCGGTAAATAATCCAGACATTAGAAGCAACGATCCTCATATACTGAACACAGCAAGTTCAGGACCATGAATACTTCTGGGGATATTTTTTTGTAGTGAAGACTGAGCACAAAATTATCCCCCAAAATATTCATTGTCCAAAACGTTTTCTGTTCAGTTTATGAGCATGATATACGTAATGAGATGAATGACAACATCAGTGTTCAAAACTAAGTAGGAAAATCAAGGTGTATTTGTCATATTCCTAATGACACAAAATATGAAATAAGGGGGTCATGAGATTCAAACACCAATGTAGAAAACTCAAGAACCGCAGGACCCCTGCAGGTAACACAAGCCAAATATCACTCACTTGGATGCGTTGAATGTGCCTGTGGGTGCCTCCATTTTGATTCTGGCATACTCTGAGAATAGTCCTTTCCTCCGCAGTGACTTGACATGTTCCACCAGCTGCTTCAGGTTCATACCGCCCTGATCCGGCATGTGAATGGAGTCATCCAGGATGTTCGACCCTGACGATGGAGGTCGCCGCTTGATCGGCAAATCAGAAACTTGCTGATCGTTGGGTGAATTATCCACTGTGCTTGAATCAGAGATTCTCTTCCTGGAATCAGCGTTACTTCTACCATCCGACGTCCGGCGTTTCTTACCTGACATCAGAATAGAATCAGACTCTTTTTCAATGAACACATCCTTGTTCCCATCCCGAACATCTTCCCGTTCCTTCTCCCGGTCCTCATGGTTGTGTTTCTCATTCACTGTTTCCTTGGAAGTCTCTGAGTCCATATCACTGAAATGCAGATCCATATCACTGGATAGACTGCGGGTGACGGAGCTCCGTGATTCGCCGTCTCCTGTGGAGCTGTACGAGCGTTTCCGGCTGATGAAGTAGGAGTCCATGTCTACTGTTTCACTGATGGCTATCTTATAACACAACTGCAGCCAAGCCTTGTGGCTGGTGGGGACGCTTCCCCCTAGATGTTCCGGGATAGAATCTCGGGGGATATACTGGGACAGCTGGGACAAGCTCACAGTGTAAACCTGAAACACAGCAGCAATGGTGGAGTCTATACTGAGTGAGTGAGTGAGTGAGTGAGTGAGTGAGTGAGTGAGTGAGTGAGTGAGTGAGTGAGTGAGTGAGTGAGTGAGTGATAGGGGAGGGATGGAGAGAGAGAAGAGAGACAGTGAAGAAGAGGGATAAGGAAGAAGAGAGGGGTGAGAAAGAGAGAGAGAAAGAGAGAGAGAAGAGAGAAGAAGAAGAGAGACAATGAAAAAGAGCGAGATAAGGAAGAGAGGAAGAGAGAGATAAGGAAGAGAGGGAGAGAGAGAAGAGGGATAGGGAGAGAAGGAAGAGAGTGTGAGAGAAAGAGTGAGAGGAAGAGAGAGAGGAAAAGAGAGATGGTGAAAGAGGTGTTCTACATAAATTAGGGGTGTCACAATCACTTTCCTCCCCTATCTATACATATCATGATACATGAGGAGACACTATAAGATCTGTACGATCGCAATTCTCACATGCACCATTTTTGCATGAAATTCTTCAGGTTGTAGCATCTACAATTCTAAAGAGGTTGTTGCTTTTGATGAAACTATTTACAAGTCATTTCATGAGTGAATGACTGTCAAAGGAACATTGACATTTTACACAATGATGACATATCATTGTTGTTGAGTTGTTACTTGGAATTCATCTTAGGTGATTGCAAAAACCTTTGATTTTTCATGACTGAATCTGAAATTTCATGAAATTTTAACCATGTTTCCAAATTTGACCTCTTGTGACCATGACCTTACAAGTAGGTCATCAAAAACTTAATGCAATTGAGACCCACACCTTAGATATCATGTATAAGTTTCATCAAATTCCAATCATTAACATAGCAAATTAGTAAAATCTAAATATTTTTTACATTTATATACTTATCCTGCATTACTCCTTAATGCATTCACTGCTTACCTTACGACAACAAGAAGGACAGCGCAACAGCGATGGTCCTGGGTGAAGAAATCAAGTTGTTGTTCTGAAGTCCCACTTTAACTAACCACCATCACTGTCCTGTGACCTTGATGACACCTAAGGTCACCTTCTTCAGATCACTGCCTGTCGCCCAAGCTCTTAGAAAACCATACTTTTGAGGTTTCTAAAGCCAAAGTGGGGAGGCAAGTCTGTGACGGGTGGGCCTTAAGGGTAGTAATGCAGGTTTAGTATACAAATGTAAAAATTATTTAGAATTTACTAAATTTTTTACTTATCCTGCATTACTCCTAAATGCATCTGTATCGGAAGGTTTGGAGGTGGGGCTAACCTTCTGAATACAGAAACCTCAATAATTCACACCCTGCAATACGACACCAGTTGGTCGATAAACAGTGAAGCGGAATTCCCTATACACATTTAGTAATAAAGAAAATAATAGCTGATCAGCTAATTCTTTACTTACTACGTCATAGAGCCGTCGTTAACAAACAGGATTGTCTAATATTCTTCCACTGGCAGAAACTGAGCGACTGCACATCGAAGTAGGCTGGCTCTGTATATGGAGAGTTCATGTGTCAGACCTAAAAAAACATCTTTCTCTGATTGTTCTAATAGAACAATTGCCTTGTAAAGCCATGGTAAAGGCTAACACCCTAAACTCGTGAGGGTAATTCGATCTCGGCTGATTCAGTTTGGCGACCTCGTAAGCCTGAAGGATGACTGTGCATAACCATTTTGATATGGTGTTACCACTAACTTTGGTCGTGGATGTAGGAGACACAGGTATAAATAACAGCTTCCTCGAACAACGCCTTGTCTTGGAGAGGCGGATGAAAACTCGAAGTGCTCGCACCGAGCCCAGGAGAAGTTCACCCTCATCTACGGCTCCCACAATAGTCGATATTGGTGGGATGGTGAAGGAATGATCGGGTTGGCCTTGTAGTAGATTTTTGCAATAAAATCCCAGCACAACTAGAGATGTACTGCCCCGTGCGTTCCATGCTCGAAGCAGACCCGGGTGATGCTGCTCGCATGTAGTTCACTCACCCGTGCCGCCGTAGCTAATGCCAAGAGAAAACCTTGTTTCCTTGGTGAGGTCATAAAATGAGGAAGGATAGCGGGGCTCGAAGGCGGGGCCCTCGCAAACCTCAAAGTACCACATTCAAGTCCCAAGTAAGTGGGTGGAACTTGGCCTTCTGATCCTCAAGCCTGAATGAGCGTAATAGGGCCTGTCATCTTGCGATTATCCGGAACGACCAACACTGCATTAAGTGCAACCAAATACGTAGTAATGGTGCTCCCTTCCAAGTGTCTTTGGGTGCGCAAATGTAGGAGGTATTCCGCTAGGAATCGTTGTGACACAATCCTGGGGTCTTGAGTCTTTGCCTTGCAAAAAGTCTCAAAAGAACAGTGTTCCCGCTGGCTTTTGAAAATGACAGTTCTAGTGGCAGCTCTAATAATTACCAGTCCCCTCCCTAATTTTGGCCAGTCCCAACTTTCAACAAATAAAACAATATATGAAAATTACCTGGCTTTAATTCTTTCAACATCATGTTCAGTGCAAAGATGTCATCTCTCGTCTCTCATTAGATCTATACATCATTCACACTAACTTAAGTCATAATTTTCTCCATTTTTATAATATTTTGAGACAAAGTCACTACAAATGGATATTTAACCTCGAAGCAAAGCAAATTGTTATTTCCTTGCAATAAAAATAGACAAGGGGAAACCCTGATGGTAACAGACAAGCTGATTTCATTGTAAAATGTACTAATATGAATATCGCCAATTTTTGGTTCATCAACAAAGATTTATATGGTACTTTATTTGCCGGTCCAGAGGGACTGGCAGTCACCTGAATTACTGGTCCAAGCCTAATTTTACAGGTAAAAAAACTGGTAATTACTGGCAAAAGAGAACACTGATGATCCCCACTTGTCAATGGGAGAGAAATGATGAGCTAAAGCTATAGCTTTAGCTGCCATCGCCGAATAGCCCTTCACACTTAACGCCTTTTAAAGATGAACCAAGCTTGCAGACGCAACCTGTCTGACGTTGGTTGAGACAATTTGCTGTGAGGGTGGATGAGTATGTTGGAACACTGTAGGAGAGATAGTGGATCGTATTCTGCTAGATTTTTCCAAGCTCGAAGAACCACCCTCTTGCCGGCCACCAGGATGTCACCAAAGTGAGAGCAAGATACCTCGTCTTCTTGATCCCCTGAATCACCTTGGGAAGTAAAACTGGTGGCAGAAAAGCATACTCTTTTAGCCCTTCCCAAGGGATGCTGAATGTGTCAACTGCCCAAGCTTGCGGATCTGGTAACAGGGAGACATACGTCATGAGTTGGTGGTTTAGGCAAGTAGCAAACAAGTCGATGTTTGGTTGCCCGAACTTCTGAAGCAGTAACTGGAATGCTGCTGTGTGAAGTTTCCCCTCGGTGGGAGCCACCCTGTCTGGACGTGATATGGCATCAGCCAGTAAGTTCCAACATCCGGGCATGTGCTGAACTATGAACTGTAGTTGCAGATGATCCATCAGAACCACCTGAATGTCTGTTGAAGTAAAGAATTGGAGTGTGTTGTTTCCTGATTGAGCTGGTATCATACCACAGTGCTGTTGTCTGTGGATATTGCGAGGTGGGCTGAGTGTAGCTGATTCTGCCAATGGGATATAGCCAGAATTAACTTCCAAATCCAAGTTGTTCAGAAGGCTTTGATGACCCTACTAGATAAGGAGTCATGTGCCAAATTCCCCGTACATGCTGGCGTACTAGCGCTGCCCAGCGATGTATGCTGTACCAGAAAGCACATTAGGCGTTTGCTACATGTTAGGCACAGGTGTAGGCACTAACACTTGTGCCAAAGTTGTTGGAACAGCGCTAAGCTGATCATGTGTCGGTTGCGTAACCAGGTACACTGTAAGCCCTTGGGTACATGTCATTGTAGAGGCCTTGATTGGTAGGCAGACGCTGCGCTCAGCGCAGGTCTATGAGACAATGCTCATCGGTGATGACTGGATCATGTGCCGGTTGTGTAACCTACTACACTGTCATTGTAGAGGCCTTGATTAGTACTCAGACGCTGCCCTTGGCGCAGGTCTATGAGACAATGCTCATCGGTGATGACTGGATCATGTGCCGGTTGTGTAACCTACTACACTGTCATTGGTATCCAAGTTGTTTATGTGACACTTTCGATGAGCACGGGACCATAGCCCTGAGGCTGTCTGGCCTTACAGGTGAGCACCCCAGCCCTGAAAAGAGATGTCTATGAACAGGTGTAGATTCGGGGATAACCCGAATAAAGAGACTCCCCCTAAGACATTCAACTCTACCGTCCACCAAATGAGGTAAGGCCTTAGTTGAGCCGGTAGAGTGATGGCCTTGCGTGGATCCAGACGCTGTGTCAGGAACTGTTGAATTGGTCGCAGTTGTAATCGGACTATGCTGGTTAAGTCCTGTGCCGAGGTGAGTAACCCTAACAACACTTGCCATTGGTGAAGCGTGCATGGTTGGTGTAGAGCAGATGATAAGAGGCGTAGAAGCTTGCACCATCTGTCCCTCGATACTGATAGGAGATCCTGGTCTGTCTGGAACAGGCCTCCTATGAACTGAAGCCAATAGGAAGGAGTGAACGTAGACTTTGCCTCGTTGATTATTCATCCCAGTAGATATAGTAGCCGTCAGCATGGTGAATTCCCGGTGGTGTACTAACATTGGCGCGTGTTGATGACACAGTAGACAGTCCTCTATCTACGACTCTAACCAAGTGTTCGTCAGCTGTAGATACACAGACATTGGCTTCATTACTCCTGTAAATAGCCATGGGGTCACAGAAATGCCAAATGGGAACACTACCCATTGGTAGTGAACCCCATTGAACTGGAACCTGAGGAGTCTGTGGTCTGAGGGATGGATATTCGACACTGATCAAGGATCGAACGCATTGATGTTGGTTCTGAGTAGTCTCAACGTGGTAAGGCTGCAATAATGTGGACGCTTAAGATAATGTTCGTAGAACACGGAGAGATTGTGGATCATTCTCATCTTGTCTGAGTCCTTCATGGGTAGCAGGCAGATGTGAGAATAAAACCCTGGTGATAAATCGGGGTTGTGAGCCATCTCTACAGCTCTTTTCACCAACAATATGTCTATGTTGGATTTTCCAAGGCGGAGGAGCTGTGGTCAACAGTGGGGTTACCTCTATGTGTAGATGGAAACCGTGATGTAGTACGATGAGAACGTAATCGTCCATGAGATTTGCCTCTGCCCCGCCCTTTCCCATGAAGGAAATACTGGTCTTCCTTGAGAGATGCGCGTCTAGGCTTATAATTGCCTAACTTGCCAGGCCGCTGGGATAGACTAAATGAGATGTGCTCTAGAGTCTTTAGTGCAGTGTCATTCCAAGTGTCTTTGGGAACTTGGCGTGAGTGTCTGCGATCTGTTCATTGAACAGGGAAGTAGATGACCAAGGTTGACATAGCGGCCTGCGCTTGAAATGAAGGTCCCAGTTGAAAAGCACAAAAGTCTGCGTGTGACGGTAATCTGTCAGAGCGGCTTCAAGATGAATTTTCATGTTGTCAATCTGATGCTGTAGGAAAATCACCATAGTTTGGAAATGATTTAATCGGATAGGGTTATCCTCTGATAGATCCTGATCCACTTCATGCACTGACAATGTTGGTGGCTTAAATGACGAAGGAAATTTAGGCTTAGAGAAGTCTTCATCCAATGACCTCGTGGTGTCCCTCTTATTTACCCCATTACCAGGAGAGGGCGCCACTGACACAAGATGGTCTGCTACCCAATCAGGTACTTGCTCTAAACCGGCAATCTGCTCCAGTGCGTAATGCCTCTTCTATCAGAAGGCTTTGATGACCCTACTAGATAAGGAGTCATGTGCCAAATTCCCCGTACATGCTGGCGTACTAGCGCTGCCCAGCGATGTATGCTGTACCAGAAAGCACATTAGGCGTTTGCTACATGTTAGGCACAGGTGTAGGCACTAACACTTGCGCCAAAGTTGTTGGAACAGCGCTAAGCTGATCATGTGTCGGTTGCGTAACCAGGTACACTGTAAGCCCTTGGGTACATGTCATTGTAGAGGCCTTGATTGGTAGGCAGACGCTGCGCTCAGCACAGGTCTATGAGACAATGCTCATCGGTGATGACTGGATCATGTGCCGGTTGTGTAACCTACTACACTGTCATTGTAGAGGCCTTGATTGGTACGCAGACGCTGCCCTTGGCGCAGGTCTATGAGACAATGCTCATCGGTGATGACTGGATCATGTGCCGGTTGTGTAACCTACTACACTGTCATTGTAGAGGCCTTGATTGGTACGCAGACGCTGCGCTCGGCTCAGGTCTATGAGACAATGCTCATCGATGATGACTGGATCACTGAAGAAGCGCTTGGACCATTGTCAAATTATCATTTGGGAACAGTGTTGACGCCTGAGCGTGCATCTTCTGCGCTGGATATGTTGGAACAGCGCTAAGCTAATCATGCGTTGCCTGATTATATATACGCAACTCACTGTTACGACAAAGCGAGTAGTATTTAAGAACACAAGAATATGTTATACATACATAGCTGAGAATTGTAAACAATTTGACTACCTTGGCAGGCAAACAAATGTAACAGAATTCAAAATGACGGCGAACAACAAATATGTGGCACAGAAAAAGATAGTCTTTTTACGCCTAATTAATTCACATAAAACTACACAACATAGTGATAGTAATATGAAAAGAATACATCACCCATCGCAAATAAATTTTAGACGTAGATGAAAACTGATGGTCGAAATTAATCCAAAAGGAGAGCTCCGTTGGGACAAGTCCTCGCTGCAGTGCAACAAGCAGTGATGTGAAGAAGGTGACCTCAGGTGTCATCAGAGGTCACAGGGCAGCGGTGGGGGTCAGTAAAAGTGGGACTTCAGAACAACAACTTTATTTCATCACCTAGGACCATCGCTGTTGCACTGTCCTTGTTGTCATAAGGTAAGCAGTGAATGCATGAAGGAGTAATGCAGGATAAGTAAAAAATAAAGATCTTAGGAAGCCCAACAAACATTGAGTGACCTTGCCCTTCAATCACTTGTGAGAACATTAAATGTGCAACTTAAGTGGTATCACAAATATGAAGTCTCCCTATCAAACTGCCAATACTTCCTGAATGAAACTCTTTACAAGTCAGGGATCAAACCTGACCTGAAACAGTCATGTGTCCAAATTGTGTTAAGGTATCAAGATACCCAGGAAAAATTTAAATTTTAATGGTCCTCAGGATAACCTTAACATCAGACACACTGATTCATGTCAGCAGAGAAGAGCCAGTTGCATCCCCAGGTCCTGGTTTTCAAAGCAACCATAATGTAACAACTATCCTAACTCCAATACATTACCAACTTACGGCAGCCGTAGCGCTACTATCGCTTTGTGGGACTGTACCCTCAATCTTTGAGACTTAAAATTATACACAGTCGGGTATAATAAAGAAAACTAGTTCAGAGTAGTTTCTGACAGTAAAGTGTAACTTTCCAAAGATGACAAACACTTACCCTATCACGTAACTTTTCCCTGACAAACAGTCGGAGGATCTTGAAAGGGGCCTTGAACCACAGGGGGGCTGTGACAATGAGGACTTTCTTCAATCTGGCCGGGTAACCACCCTAGAAACATTACACGATCATAGTCACACCATCCACCATCACATTCCTGCATCAGCCCAACAAACATAATTGTGACACAGAGCGGAACAATATTTACAGGAAAAGAAAACAAAGTGACTCATAACGAGGCAGGCATCAACAATATCTCAGCCATATGATGGAAGGAAGTGAAGTAAACACCTTTCAAAAGTCATTGCAGGGAATGTGTGAGTGAATGAATAAAGTTATAGTCAGCTATAGTCAGCTATAGTCAGTTATAGTCAGTTATAGTCAGCTATAGTCAGTTATAGTCAGCATAGTCAGCTATAGTCAGTTATAGTCTGTTATAGTCAGCTATAGTCAGTTATAGTCAGTTATAGTCAGCATAGTCAGCTATAGTCTGTTATAGTCAGCTATAGTCAGCTATAGTCAGTTATAGTCAGCATAGTCAGCTATAGTCAGTTATAGTCTGTTATAGTCAGCTATAGTCAGTTATAGTCAGCATAGTCAGCTATAGTCAGTTATAGTCTGTTATAGTCAGCTATAGTCAGTTATAGTCAGCTATAGTCAGTTATAGTCAGCTATAGTCAGTAATATTCCAATGGCTGAAGCATTGATCACATAATCAGAGAACAATGACATACAATCAGTCACAGAACCAATCTCATTAAAATCAGATCTTAGTTCTTGCTTCCGCCATACAAAGATCTTAGGACATCCTATTATGGGTCATGTCAGAACAACCTTTCTGACCAGTGAAATGACTGACAAGAACGGAAGTGGACATTAGCTAATCAGAAAGCAGCTTTCTTGAGCGTTATGACACTAGCTTACAACTGGCGACTTCCATTCCAGACTATGCTTTGAAAAATATTTTGACAAAGTTCTCTATTCAAAATTTGAAAACTGAATAAAAGAAAATGCTGGATTGTATGATAGACGGCTAAGTTTGCATGGTAGTAATTCCCATAGGCTATAGAAAGGCTCAAATGCTTATCCCATGGAAGGAAAGATAGACAATGATTTTGATGGAATCGGTCGTACAGCCCAGAAATGTTGTTCTGATAACCTGTGTTAACCCTTTCAAGGCTACACATTCTGACTGTCACTTTCCCGATCTGGTAGGCACACTCTGATCATCTTCCCGGGGCAAAAACGTCCACTAGGCTTTTAATCAAAGTCTTGTTTCCACCCTTGCCAAATCAAGCCCAAATTCCTGTGCTAAATATGCTTGGACTATCGCACATATTGACAGTCCAATCAGAGAACGTTTCACAACATCAATATCCACGACTGGTACACCTTCGAATGAAAGTGATTTACTGCTGCCTGCCTTTGTTGAAACGCCTTTTTCATCTTTTAAACCCCCCAACGATTGCTGTTTTTGTGTCAGGATGAAATCGTGAATGTTTTCGTTATCTGATCGACTAGGTCGTTGCCAATGGTAGTCGGCATCTTTGTGAAGCTATATGAGATAAGAAAAGCTATCTGATTGGATATCTCGTTTTCATTACAAGGTTCACAACTCGTGATCTACAAGCAACGCCAGGGTCGAGCCAAGAAAAGTGGCCTTGACGTGGCAAGGGTAGAAACTAGGCTTTGAAATAGGCTAGTGGACACTCTTGCCTCGGGAAGATGACTGAGTGAGTATGGTTTTACTCCGCTTTTAGCAATATTCCAGCAATATCACGGCGGGGGACACCAGAAATGGGCTTCACACATTGTACCCATGTCGGGAATCGAACCCGGGTCTTCGGCGTGATGAGCGAACGCTTTAACCACAAGGCTACCCGACCGCCCCCTCGGGAAGATGAACTCAGATCTGATTTTAAAGATATTGTCAAAGGACCTCCTAATTCCATAATCCCAAACTTCCTTATTCTTTGGTATGCAGGTATTTGGTGAACATTTCCTGGTATGGAGGGTGGCTGAAAGGTCTGAGCCAAACTAAAAAGGATGTCTGCAATAGGCATACAACTTTTCAGCCACCCATGGTATATATGTTGTGTTCCTACCTTCAACAGGTTGAGAATCTTGATGCTGAGCTCATAGTCAAAGTTAGCATACTTTGAGTCTGTCATGTCATAGACAAACACCAGGCCATGGCGCTGAGTCTCCAGGCTGCCACAAACAGAAACATCAGGTATATGTTAGTTTATAACACCATGACAGAATAATGACATCAGTGTTAGAAATTGGAGCTAGTCCTGTAGTCCTTACCAAACTGCCCAATAGTAAAGGTATCCTAAGGACTAGTAGAAATTGGCCCATTTTAAGGGTTTTGCTATATGTTATCATATAAGGACTAGTGGACAAAAACTGTTAGTTTCTAACCCTGTGACATGAGGTGAGGTAAAATGGGGCTAATGTCGCGGGCAAGATTATTTCAGTTATATACTATAGCGATGTCGTCTCTATCATGTTGTGTTGTGTCATGTTGTGCGTGTGAGGCTGTGTGTGGAGGATACTGACTCCGAGCCGAGCAGTTCTTGTTTTAGCCCCTTAATGCTGAACACCAGGCAGGGTAACAACAAGTATTTGTTAATGTCTTTTGGTATGACGTGGCCGGGGGTCAAACTCACGACCTCCCGCTCTCCGGTTGGACGCTCTACCACTAGCCCACAGAGGTGGTCAATAATGCTATAACAACACCATGGCAACAAAATAACTGCATCAAATTCAGTTGTGACTTGAGTAATGCAACTAGATACAAGTATTTCAAACTGTTCACGTGTCTGATGACTAACAAACTAATGGCTGTGTCTAACCCTGTTTCACTGTTTCAATGATGCAGAATCTGGAAAGGTACAATATATTTATTTGTTACTCTTAAGTTTAAGTATGACTGCTTAAAAATCGCTCTTGATATCTGAAACATAGTGGCGAGTGAGTATGGTTTTACGCCGCTTTAAGCAATATTTCAGCAATATAATGGCAGCGGACACCAGAAATGGGCTTCACACATTGTACCCATGTCGGGAATCGAACCCAAGTCTTCAGCGTGACGAGCGAACGCTTTAACCACTAGGCTACCCGACCGCCCCTGAAACTTAGTAAACAACAACAGTATATAGAATTGCCTTCTCCTGGACTGCCAGGCCCTACCTGTGTAGTGCCGCGTCAAGCTGGTAGATGAGACCTTTCAGGACAATCTGGTGGGTGGTCTTGGGGGGTTGATGGTTCCGGGCGGTGAACAATGCAAGGGCAGCACCGCTGTTGTCTCGACCATTCTGTACATATACAAAACAATGTCACACATGTCGTGCATGATAACTAACACTTGTACAGGAAACATGTAGAACAGGATAACATGTTGGGCAGGATAACATGTTGGGCAGGATACCACTCGGCATGAAGGATTACAAAAATATTGGGATTTCACAATAGAGCAGGAAGTAAAGTGTCATGCACCCACGCACGCACACACGCCATCCCCCCATAGGGATCATCAAATGGTTCTATCCCACCCCTAATAAACATTTAACACCAAGTGGAACATCAGAGCCCAAGTAAACACCAAGTGGAACATCCCACCCCAAGTAAACACCAAGTGGAACATCCCACCCCAAGTAAACACCAAGTGGAACATCCCACCCCAAGTAAACACCAAGTGGAACATCCCACCCCAAGTAAACACCAAGTGGAGTAAACACCAAGTGGAACATCCCACCCCAAGTAAACACCAAGTGGAACATCCCACCCCAAGTAAACACCAAGTGGAACATCCCACCCAAAGTAAACACCAAGTGGAACATCCCACCCCAAATAACACCAAGTGGAACATCCCACCCCAAGTAAACACCAAGTGGAACATCCCACCCAAAGTAAACACCAAGTGGAACATCCCACCCCAAATAACACCAAGTGGAACATCCCACCCCCAGTGGAACATCCCACCCCAAGTAAACACCAAGTGGAACATCCCACCCCAAGTAAACACCAAGTGGAACATCAGAGCCCAAGTAAACACCAAGTGGAACATCCCACCCCCAGTAAACACCAAGTGGAACATCCCACCCCAAGTAAACACCAAGTGGAACATCCCACCCCAAGTAAACACCAAGTGGAACATCCCACCCCAAGTGGAACATTCCACCCCAAGTAAACACCAAGTGGAACATCCCACCCCAAGTAAACACCAAGTGGAACATCCCACCCCAAGTGGAACATCCCACCCCAAGTAAACACCAAGTGGAACATCCCACCCCAAGTAAACACCAAGTGGAACATCCCACCCCAGGTAAACACCAAGTGGAACATCCCACCCCAAATAACACCAAGTGGAACATCCCACCCCAAGTAAACACCAAGTGGAACATCCCACCCAAAGTAAACACCAAGTGGAACATCCCACCCCAAATAACACCAAGTGGAACATCCCACCCCAAGTGGAACATCCCACCCCAAATAAACACCAAGTGGAACATGCCACCCCAAGTAAACACCAAGTGGAACATCCCACCCCAAGTAAACACCAAGTGGAACATCCCACCCCAGGTAAACACCAAGTGGAACATCCCACCCCAAGTAAACACCAAGTGGAACATCCCACCCCAAGTAAAGACCAAGTGGAACATTCCACCCCAAGTAAACACCAAGTGGAACATCCCACCCCAAGTAAACACCAAGTGGAACATCCCACCCCAGGTAAACACCAAGTGGAACATCCCACCCCAAGTAAACACCAAGTGGAACATCCCACCCCAAGTGGAACATCCCACCCCAAGTAAACACCAAGTGGAACATCCCACCCCAGGTAAACACCAAGTGGAACATCCCACCCCAAGTAAAGACCAAGTGGAACATTCCACCCCAAATAAAAACCAAGTGAAAAATCCCACCCCAAATAACACCAAGTAGAACATCAGAGCCCAAGTAAACACCAAGTGGAACATCCCATCCATTCTAACTTCAAATGGTTCCATCACAACCAAACATTAAGTGGCACCGCCTTACCCCATATTAGCATGGTGTGGCATAAACAGGCATCAAATGGCTCGAAAGACTTATCATGAGGGGGTACCAATATACCAATCTTAGAGAGAACCAGTGTGCACTCACCAAGATGGTAAACTTTTCTGTGGATATTTCTCTCTGCAAGTACTTATCACTTGGGTCAATATTCACCAAATCTTCTCTTTCTCTTACACCCTGACAACATAAAAACATATTGAAATCATAATAACTTTGATAAACCAATCCAGTCACCAACTCTATACATACTTACTGGTTCTCACATAACCCTCCAGTAGCCAACACTATACACACTTACTGGTTCTCACATAACCCTCCAGTCACCAACACTATACATACTTACTGGTTCTCACATAACCCTCCAGTCGCCGACACTATATACACTTACTGGTTCTCACATAACCCTCCAGTCGCCAACACTATACATACTTACCGGTTCTCACATAACCCTCCAGTCGCCAACACTATACACACTTACTGGTTCTCACATAACCCTCCAGTCACCAACACTATACACACTTACCGGTTCTCACATAACCCTCCAGTCACCAACACTATACATACTTACCGGTTCTCACATAACCCTCCAGTCACCAACACTATACACACTTACTGGTTCTCACATAACCCTCCAGTCACCAACACTATACACACTTACTGGTTCTCACATAACCCTCCAGTCACCAACACTATATACACTTACTGGTTCTCACATAACCCTCCAGTCGCCAACACTATACATACTTACTGGTTCTCACATAACCCTCCAGTCACCAACACTATACACACTTACTGGTTCTCACATAACCCTCCAGTCGCCAACACTATACATACTTACTGGTTCTCACATAACCCTCCAGTCGCCAACACTATACACACTTACTGGTTCTCACATAACCCTCCAGTCACCAACACTATACATACTTACCGGTTCTCACATAACCCTCCAGTTGCCAACACTATACACACTTACTGGTTCTCACAAAACCCTCCAGTCGCCAACACCTCAGTATGTATAGTGTTGGCGACTTGAAGGTTAGTACTTACTAGTTCTCCCATAAGAACAGTCCTCTGTATATGAAGATATGAGTGGTGGATCCAACACTTTGGTGAATAATTTTCAAGGAACAAACATACAAACAAAAATAGACACAATGAATTTCAACAATGAAGCATTAATCCTCTCATTACGTTTATGCAACCCAAGGAAGCAGGTTTGACTATAATGAAAATAACAAGGAACTTGCAACCATGAGTGTACCACGGGGTCAGGACATGACTGAAACCAAGAGATAGGGAAACATCCCACCCCTCCCTCCCTGCTGTGTGAAACCAGCCAACATCCTGCTGTACCCACCTCATGGGAGATGAACAAATCGATGGCCCTTTTCAGGTCAAACTTTCTGGCCATAAGAAACTTGACGCCATCGTTCCATGTGACCTGCCCCTGCTGCTTGAAGACCCTCTGTCTGTTCACCTCATCCAGGAAGTGCTGCACAACCTGCACAGAAACACACACATCACTTCAGGGACAACACCCATGTATCTCCACTGGCAACACTTGTCACTTCACTGGCAACACGTGTTATCTCGGGAACACCCTCTGTATGTAGTCTGACTAGAGTTATCTCGGGAACACCCTCTGTATGTAGTCTGACTAGAGTTACCCCAGGGAAACCCTCTGAAGGTAGTCAGTCAGTGTTATCTCGGGAACCCCCTCTGTATGTAATCTGGCTAGTGTTGCCTCGGGAACACCCTCTGAAGGTAGTCAGCCAGTGTTACCCCAGGAACACCCTCAGTAGGTAACCTGGCCAGTGTTACCCAAAGAACACCCTTGGTAGGTAGTCTGACAATGTTACCCCAGGAACACCCTCGGTTGATAGTCAGCCAGTGTTACCCTGGGAACACCCTCGGTAGGTAGTCAGCCAGTTTTACTCCAGGAACACCCTCGGTAGGTAGTCTGACAGTGTTACCCCAGGAACACCCTCGGTAGGTAGTCAGCCAGTGTTACTCCAGGAACACCCTCGGTAGGTAGTCAGCCTGTGTTACCCCAGGAACACCCTCGGTAGGTAGTCAGCCAGTGTTACCCTGGGAACACCCTCGTTAGGTAGTCACCCAGTGTTACCCCAGGAACACCCTCGGTAGGTAGTCAGCCAGTGTTACCCCAGGAACACCCTCGGTAGGTAGTCAGGCAGTGTTACTCCAGTAACACCCTTGGTAGGTAGTCAGCCAGTGTTACCCCAGGAACACCCTCGGTAGGTAGTCAGGCAGTGTTACTCCAGTAACACCCTTGGTAGGTAGTCAGCCAGTGTTACCCCAGGAACACCCTCGGTAGGTAGTCAGCCAGTGTTACCCCAGGAACACCCTCGGTAGGTAGTCAGGCAGTGTTACTCCAGTAACACCCTTGGTAGGTAGTCAGCCAGTGTTACCCCAGGAACACCCTTGGTAGGTAGTCAGGCAGTGTTACCCCAGGAACACCCTTGGTAGGTAGTCAGGCAGTGTTACCCCAGGAACACCCTTGGTAGGTAGTCAGCCAGTGTTACCCCAGGAACACCCTCGGTAGGTAGTCAGCCAGTGTTACCCCAGGAACACTGTCGGTAGGTAACCTGGCCAGTGTTACCCCAGGGACACCCTCGGTAGATAGTCAGCCAGTGTTACCCTGGGAACACCCTATAGTTAACTCTACAAATCAAGTGAGACTACATACCGCACGCAGGTCTTCACCATTTAAGACTGTATCTTCTGTGAAATGGTGATAAGAATCCCCGTCATAACACAGAGACAGCGCATTACATACAGAAGCCATTGTTCTTTACACCACTACAGCGTGCTCAGTCAATTATCATAACTAAACTTCACCTTGACCCAACCATGAGTCATTGAGCTGAACACACAAGAGAAATGAAACCAAATCCTGATTATTATATTATTTGTTAGGCCACATGAAAAACCTAACACAAAACTGGTGATGAACCTTGAACTTCCACTTTAGAAGCATCTTTCAGTGTTTGAAATAAAAGGTGATCCTGGGGAGTTTGGGGTACAGTGATTTTATTTGGGCACTCTCTTTTATTCTTTAAAGATTTTGCTTAATTTTGATCAATGAAAATAATAATGCACCCAGTAAAATAACATGATCACATGTGAGTCAGATCCATGGTAGATTTATGGCAGACTGTGACATTTGGAGCATATTTTCAGTCCATCCTATTGTAGAAGTCACTCTAGTACGCCCACAATGTAATGATTAAGGAAGAAGTTAAGATTTTGTACAAATATCATAACCCTAATTCTTAAACTAAAACAAGACTTAGGGTACAGGGTGACTTACATAACATAATTCATCATATTGAAGTCCTATCAGGACAAACAAGGAAAAACTTGTTTCAGAAGTGAGGTGAAATTGGGTTTTGCTTCATGTTCAAGGATATTTCACTTATATAACAATGTGTGTGTGGCTGCTTGTACTGGTCCAGACTTATGCCTGTTTTATAGTGCTAGGCCATTGAGACATTAAGCTGAAATTTAACACGGATGTGCCACTCAGACACAGTAAAATGACTCTGAGTTGACCAGGGCCCACTTGTAGAAAGGGATCTTAGCGCAACAACAATCGTAACTCCCATACTCTAACATAGACTTAAGATAGTCCTAGTGCTAAGATCCCTTTGAGCAAGTGGGCCCAGTCCTTGTTTTATCCCCTTAATGCCGAGTGCCAGGCAGGGTAACAACAAGTACTATCTTTTAACATCTTTTGGTTTGATGCGGGATCGATGAATGGGACCAATGATGAATGCTCGAACTGGTCACTGTATACTGTGATATGCAATACATGGAACTCGATAATTTGGCTGTGCTCTATCGAGGACTCATGACAGTACTTCAGGCCTACCAATGACAACCAGCTGAGAGCGACTTAACTATGGAATATGTACACACTTTCAATAGAAATAGCCACACAAAATACGAATGATGTACACTTTATTGGGGATTGTGTCTTGTTTGTAATTTGTGTGGCTGTTTCTATTGAAAGTGTGTACATATTCCATAGTTAAGTCGCTCTCAGCTGGTTTTCATTGTATAAGCCTGTACTTCATCAGGGGACAGGGAATAGTTGCAAGGACACCTGGCCCAGCTTTCCCTTGTTTGTTCTTGCAACTGCATGTTATATCCCGATAAAGTACTGTCCTCAATCCACTTCTTAATGTTATTCATTTCTAGGTTTATGTAAATCATTTCATCATGGCCCATACCTATCCCTACATGACAAACTGGTCTGGCAAACAAAGAGAAGATACCCTGGCCTTATCATGAGTCCAAATTCATTGTCTTAACTATCCAATAATGAAAGACGGAAAACATTTTAAATTATTTCCTGCTACTGGAAACATTAGGGAAGTATCAGAAGTGGCTGAGTCATCAAGTTGAAAAATGTTGTGTAATTATAGACATTTCGAAGAAAATGTGCGATTTCGGAAATTGGTTTAGTGCAAACTTTTATCAAAGTTTAAGTTCAAAATTACAGCATAGTACATCATGCAAATATTGTACTTCACTACATACAACACATACATTTGCACTTCCTTTATTTTCTCTGCATGCATTGATGACTAGTGGCCAATATCAGCAATGCAACTAAATTACACCGAACTTAAATATTAATGCACTGTAGGGTAATATTTGCCTGTATGTTGAACCACATTACATGACAGTAGTCACATAATTAGCAAAGGTTCAAATGAATTTCCTTGATAGTCTGTATTGCTAGGCTACTAGGCTTAGCAGTTACTAATTAGGTGAATCATTTCAATTTGGGAATTTATTTTGACTTTCCAAATGCCATCTTTCGAAAAGAGAGAGACCTAAATATTGGATGGTGTTATGACGCTAAATACTGCTGGGCCAATAAACATGATAAAAGATAAACTTTGGGAATTATATAAGTCTTCTTGAAAATAGTTGCATTTCTATCTTCAGACATTTTTAATACTGTTTTGGAGTACACCAACATTTCAACCCTTGTGAGACATTATCCCAATAAAATCAGATCCATTACATTCATAACAGAACTACAGTGTATTTTGTATTTGTTTTTACTGCATAATCACATGTTAATTAATTATTGTGTTTTGAGGTTTCAAAACTGTTGGGGAATTTTTAGATTCTGTGTCAACTGATGGACTGATGATGACTGATGATGACTGAAGATATCACAGTGAGAAAACGATCCACATACCATAGAAGTCCACGGATCACACTTCTCACAGCCTGTTCTGGAAAAACGTGTGTTTTTTATAGTGCCCTTCCTACTTCCATAGCATCATACGTGAATCATAATATATGAGCCCAACAGCTTAAAATCATCCATGAAATTAGTTTATATATAAAGAAGATATGATTCTCTGTTAAGTAATAGACTTCAAATAAAGTAAATTCCTATGCATTAGAATTTCTGGATTACGACTTTTTCCCGAATTCAGTATTTTAGGTCACTTGTCGCACATTTAAAGATTTAGCAGAAACATTTACTGTGTAGTTACATAAAGACATAGGCAGTGTATATCTGCTGAACACAACTACTTAAAATAATTCATGAATAAAATTAATTCAATGCAAAATTAAGTATGATTGTGACAGCTGCCGACAAATTCGTTTCAACCGGACACTCATTAATTATCCAAATCATATATTCTGTTTAGTTTCGTTTATAAATTACCAACGGTGTATGTTATATTATCCTTTCGTCAAAAACAAATAAATATCAACAGAAATATCGATTAAACAACAATAAGCAAACCTTCTCCTCTTCCTGAGAAAGCGATGCGGCCATCTTACACCGGAAATACTCACTCGACATGCATGTAGCAATTTCTGTAAAACTACTCTGCATTTGGAAACAGTTCCGAGAAATGACGTGAAACGTAGGGTTTTTTGTCCCCATGAAACATCCTGAAAGTGCCAATCCTCTGCTTTTGAGTATGTTTCGTTGACTAAGGATATACGATAAATTCACTCACTTTGCCGCAAAGTCTATTCAAATACTTCTATTATAAGTGGGGATTAAGGTGAAGTGATCGCGATCACAGCAGAGTATAATCTATGTCCGGGTGAGCTGTGAATAGATTTAATATTTTTTATTTATCGCCGGCTATTTGTGGGACGCAATAATGGTGACTATGAAATATTAACCTGCCCACTGTCTCATACGTATAATAAAAACATATTATAATGCTGTGATTTTTATATTTATTTCGAGCGTGCCACTTTCAGCTGTGTGTCGACTACACATTCTTTCTAATAGTTGGTTTAGTTGTTTTTTTCATGTGAATGTGTTTGTGAATATGACAAAGTATGTTTATGTCTAGCAAAAAACAACCTACTGAATGGCGTTTTCAAAACCACAAATAGAAACACACTTGAAACGCAATACACTTTTGGGGGGGTCATATCACGACCAACATGGATATTCAGTTATGTCAATAGCTAAGGCCGTTTGTCGTTTGTGGCGAGGGTGTCTTTTGTCAGCACAGGCAGAAAGTAGTAACGCACATGTCGTGATAACTTCTGCTGTGTCATTCAGATCGGCTATAGACAAAAGTACTACACGTCAATACGACCACAAACACATTGGTCAAAACAAATCCTTCATGGGTCATACATGGTCAATATGTTTTTAATTATTATCTATTTTTTTTTGTAAATTTACACATTCCTGTGTACAGAATTGTTTGCGACAATAACAATGATACAAATCTTCGTTTGAATCTGGCATTACCATACACTTGTAATAAGTACTGGGAGTTTTCGTTTTTCATTGTGTAAGTGTCGATTTTGTCTTTTATATCTGAGGTGAAATTAATTAAGTTTATAATCTATAATCGCGGCCTAGTACAGGTCAAAACGTTCAGAAACCAGTGTTTGTCCTTGACATTGGGGCGGCATGACGTCAGCTTTGTTACGTCACAATGGCTGAAAGTCAGAATCAAAGGAACGTTGTGACGTAACAATAAGATCCTAACGCTTACGTAATGGCTTTTCAAACGCCCGAAAGCCTCACATTCTGTAAAGACCAATCACACGCGAACAAAACTGGTTATATCAACTCACACTCCAGCCTAGACTGGATTCTGTCTCCATAAAATATTTAATAGAAAATATAATGTCCAACATATATTACTTCCTCATCCTTGGTGTGTTCTGAATGCATCAGCATCTGGAATCTTCATTTAATATTATATTTTCATTGTATATTTTGTATGTATGTTGGTGTGTTTGTTTGCTGAATGTAAATTCATGGATTATTTACATGTTAATTTAATGGAAACTGTTCTATCTCCAACCAAGAGCTCCTTGTGGTGAAATACTGTCGTTTTTGCACCAGGGCCTAAAACTCGGTCAACACATTACCAATACCCTCGATATTCGTTCTCATGCAGTTGAGTAATAACATACATATAAAAACGTCCACAATGTTGACCCTACCTAAAATAGTAAAACTCTACGTGAAATCTTTGCAAGTTTCAGCCTATTGTAAGAACACAAATGTTGTTTGTAGCTGGGGCTATTATATTAACACTTTGAGCTATATAAAATCAACATTCATTTGCCGGGGTTACAATATCAATAATATATATTGTTTCATTCCAAAATACATTCTGAGGTTGCTCTTTTCTGATTCGTCAAATCAGAGGTTTCAAATCACAATAACACGACTCTGATTGAAGCAAGTCAACCCATCCCCGTCAAAAGAACATTAACGATAGATATATGTACGTACGTACAATAACTGAAGTACTCTTGAAAAGAAACAACCTTTTTTAAGCGTCTCCACCACATTAGACAATATAACTTTAAATAATGTTCAAAGCGGACCGCCTCACTCTTGTATGACATATGATCGCAGTTAACAGTGCACTTTATGCAGTCAGGTAATTAATGTATGTGGAAAACGTAATTTTTCAACACATTTTTTTCAATCGATATTAAGTTTCTAAGTTCTAACTTTCATAAAGCGTAACATTTTCTGACATTATGCAAGGGTAATGAGTGCAATCCTTGGAAGATGGCTGAAGCTGATCATTGAACACTGTATGGCATAAACGTCTTGAGAGAATACCAAGCAGCTCACATCAACAATTCGGAAATACAAATATGGGATAAAAAATAAACACCTAATTATTCAAATGAAAACATTGTTTGAATTGTTGTTTTAAATATCATCATGTGTGTTCAAATGAGACAAAAGACATGACATAATTTGGAAAGAATGTCTTTTTAATCCAGGAGTGTGTGGCGTGACCATGCACACTGCCGCGAAGGCTATACGCATACTCCTATTATAACTACATGTAGGTATAAATGGTGAAGTAAGATTTCAGCAGAGTATAATCAATGTCCTGGTGAGCTGTGAACAGATTTAATATTATTTTATTTATCGCCGGCTATTATGACGCAGTATTGGTGACTGAGAAGTATTTACCTGCCCACAGTGTCAAACTTTTATAATGTTGTAATTATTATATTTATTTATTTTGGGCACACCACTTTCAGCTGTGTATCAACTAGACATTCTTTCTATTAGTTGGATTAGGTTGTTTTTTTCCGTGTGAATGTGTTTCTGAGTGTGACCAAGCATGTTTATATGTCTAGTAAAAACAACCTGCTAAAAGCTGTTTTCAATACCACAAATGACACATAATTTTGAAAACATGTCTCAATAATCAAGGAGTGTGTGCGTGTACATGGAGATCATTTATGTCATTTTGTCGACATTCATGGTATGTATATTTATGTGGCGCTTCAGTCAGTTTGGTAGTTTGCTTCATTTGCTGTTGTTTTTCTTTCGATCAAGCGATTATATTTAAACTGATATACTTTATGAATTACTTTAGATGTTTAATGTCTAGAACACTCGTCTAGAACTTCGCTGTAATAAATGGAGTTTACTTCAAATTCACTCCCTTAGTGAACATCGTTACGGCAAATCACCCTGTAACTAGACGTGCAGATAGTAGCATGTGAATAGGCGTCACGACCTATCCTCAAAATATGAATTAAGCTAAGTTACAGCCTTTTTTCTAGTGAGAAGGTAGAAAATGATTGATTGTAAACAAAAACGGTTAGATAATCCCCCAATACATATAGTATTAGAAATATGTTTATTTTTTACGACATGCCAAATGCCCTGCTCACCCGTGACGTCATAATCATATCGCCATATTTAGCTGCGCAGATAGTACAAAGAAGACTTTTCTCTTTCATTTTCACTTTCAATTTAGTTTCTCCAGTTCTTTTGTTGTTACGAATTTCCGATAGAAGTTGGAGAACAGATGATGGCGCAGAGCCCAGCCGGCAGTGCTGTGAAGGCTTTACAACTCGAACTGAAGAAAATACAGGAAGAGCCTGTGGAAGGATTTCGAGTAAAACTCATTGACGATGACAACTTGTTCGAGTGGGAAGTGGCAATATTTGGACCCCCTGGCACTCTGTACGAGGGGGGATATTTTAAGGTTGTTAGAAAATGTTCTAATATATCTTTGTGTGTGTTATTTTCGTCCTAATTAATTCCTATAATTTGTCGATTGCAAGGCCAGTCTTTGTTTTCATAGTCGCTCTGTTATTGGCCATTGTTTGTTTACATCTGACTAACACGAGACACACCACTTCCGTTTGCATTTTTCTTGGCTGTGGAGCTAACTTTTTAGCTGCAATGTGCAATTTAGTTGTTCAATGATATGGTATCACGTTGTAGGCATTAGTTTAAATTGCAAAATGCCCCCATGCAGATGGTAATCTAAGACAAATGTAGTTGAAGAAATGAAGGTTTTCCTTTGTTGGTTACCATCTGTATCAAGTAGTCAAAACATAACCAGTTACATTCTTCTAATATATCTCAGAATGAAAAACGTCCTACCCAGAACTGATTTCTTTGGAAACTTGGTCAAAATAGTTTCGTCAAATAATGTGACAAGTAGCAGCACTTCAGATTTATTTCTATCTGATATTCATTATCATAATTTTGTGTTGTTATTATTGTATATTTTGGACTTCATTAAGCATATATTACCCCCAAAACGTCACTTGTGATTAATTGATCTTTTGAACTGAGGTTTTCTCACTGTTGTCTCACTCTTTGGCATGATTATGTTACAGATGTATAGTTTGAATGAACATGATGCCTATATGACCATGATTGGTAATTAGTTAAATATTGATATAATAGTGTATGTGTAACATTCCTTTTCCATTCCCCTGTATCTGAACACATACCAGTTGGACGTCAGCATTGATTAACTGATTTTGTGGATAGTTCATGGGGTCATGTAGAGGTCAGTCATCAATACAGCCAGGTCAGCACAGGTCTGTGTATCCTTCAAGACATGCACTATTCAAAGTCTTGTACTGTGAAAACATACATTAGTTAAAGGAACATTGGGTCATTGAACAGTTGATCTCAAAAGGCAATAATTGCATGAATTACAGTAACATGAAGAAACTTGGCATATTCATGTTAGTTCATCAGTATTTCAACTTTTTGTTGTTGATAATGATCGATGTATTGAAGAACAATTTGTTGAACTGTTAATAAAGATAATTTTTGGGGCATGATTCTTCAGAGTGACACGTAAAGAACTTTTAGGCAATATTGTTGTTGATTGTTACATGCATAACATAAATACCAGTAGCAGATACTTCATGTACATGAAGTTCAAACGTTTGTATTTAACCAATTCTGTGAAGTCTAAGATACACTTTGGCAGTCTGTGTCAAAATATTTGAATCTACTAGCTCAAACCTTTCTTTTCTGCTTAAAATTCAGTAGACTTTTAGTAGAATATAATTTTAATTAGCTTAATCTAAGTGAGCGTAGTAAGTACTTTTACTCTGCCAGAATTGGACATAAATAATTTCATAGTCATGATAACTAGAACAAATTTTTTTCTGATCAGAAAGGTAAATACTGAAATAAATGGTCTCAAACCTTGAGAAAATCTTGGCTTTGTTTTTTAGGATCTTCATCCTGCTCACAGAATATAAATATCAGAGATCATGAGTTATTGTACATCCTTTCATGGACACAAGAATATTACTGCATCAATACTTAAGTGACATCTTTTTAATATTGACTTGCAATGGAAATGAGTTTCACAAATGACAGTTATGATGAGATGTGGAGCAAGTAAGTTTCCATCACTTATCAAAATGGTTTGCTTTTTGATAATTACTAATTGATAACAGGGATTTATTTCGGCCTGCTCCAAGACCCCAAGTCTGCAGTAAATGTGAAAATTCCCAAATGGCAATTGAAAATCTCCCAGTACGTATTTATGTAGTTAGGACCAATGAGATCTATGTCAACAGTGAAACAGGTGATTTTTGTAAATTAGAATTTGAAACTATACCACATATTTTGGGGGAATGGAGACAAATTTATTGCCTTGGGGCATACTTGGAAAGTTGACTTCTTGAGAAAACAGAATTGAAAATCATTCTAAACGAGGAGATTATACTTCTTGGTTTCCTGAAAAGAAATAATGTCCCTTTAAATATAATAGTTATATTTGTAAAAAAAACACCTGAAAAAAAACGGCGAAGACTTCCAAAATACATGTATTCAACTTAAGCTGTCAGAATACTATAATGTAACAAAATGTGCAGCTGCCATGACCAGCAATATTGATAAACACCTGTTAAAATACCTTGCCAAGGGCGAGTTGGATGTCCCAGTTAAATCCCCGGATAAACATAATCGATTACTCAGTCAAGAAATTAATTTATTATTCAAAGGATATTTTGATGAGGCAACAGCTTCAAATTAATTATGTTAATAAATGATTGATAAATGATTTATAACTTGATTATCTGAAAGGAAGAATGTATGAGCAGGTGATACTGTATGTCAGCATACATACAGAGTCGCTGATGACCACGGTGATTGTGTTTGTGGCTTCATGGTAGTATGATCATGAATGAAGCACATGTTACAGTATAAACCATATGGCTTTGAATATTGTACTTGTTACAGGCTCACATGAAGTTTCCACAAGACTATCCATATTCACCTCCAAGTGTCCGGTTTATATCTAAGATGTGGCATCCCAATGTGTATGAGGTAAGTTGAATGGAGAGAGAAAAGCTTTTGACTGGTTGAATTCATGTAATTGTGTTCACGGTTGAACGTGAAATTGACGCATCTATGCCAATTTTGATGATATAAGCCCAGAAACATCACCTACAAAAGCATCTTGTACACTTATGTCATTGTGTTCCACTTACTGAGCTAGTTAATTCAGAAATGGTAAGTGTGTTGTTTTTAAGTAAGCTACATCCCTTTCATGCCCCTGATTTTCCTCTCAGATGAGGGAAACAAGGTGTCACCTTTCTTCTAAAGAACCTGCATCCAAGGACAGCAATTGAAGCTGAAGGCAGTCAATTGCAATGAACGAATCACAGACTTCCATTCATGTAGCTGAAGATCAGCAAGCCTTAGCCTAATTACTTTGATAAGGAGCCCAAACAGTTCAACTTCCTATAGTTTTGTTGCAACACAATTTGATTTGCAATAATCATCCCAAGTTTGTTAATCTGGGGACAAGTTTGATAAGAAATTATAGCTTATTACAAGGGGTCAAGCAAGTAAAGATGACTAGGCAGTATGGTTTCAGTAATGTGTTGTTGCTGTCTCAGTGTCTGCCTCGACATGTTCACCAGACAGTAATGAGTTGTTGCTGTCTTAATGTCTGCCTCAACATGTTCACCAGACAGTAATGTGGTGTTGCTGTCTCAATGTCTGCCTCGACATGTTCACCAGACAGTAATGTGGTGTTGCTGTCTCAATGTGTGCCTCGACATGTTCACCAGACAGTAATGTGGTGTTGCTGTCTCAATGTCTGCCTCAACATGTTCACCAGACAGTAATGTGGTGTTGCTGTCTCAATGTCTGCCTCGACATGTTCACCAGACAGTAATGTGGTGTTGCTGTCTTAATGTCTGCCTCGACATGTTCACCAGACTGTAATGTGGTGTTGCTGTCTCAATGTCTGCCTCGACATGTTCACCCGACAGTAATGTGGTGTTGCTGTATCTGTCTGCCTCGACATGTTCACCAGACAGTAATGTGGTGTTGCTGTCTCAATGTGTGCCTCGACATGTTCACCAGACAGTAATGTGGTGTTGCTGTCTCAATGTGTGCCTCGACATGTTCACCAGACAGTAATGTGTTGTTGCTGTCTCAATGTCTGCCTCGACATGTTCACCAGACTGTAATGTGGTGTTGCTGTCTCAATGTCTGCCTCGACATGTTCACCCGACAGTAATGTGGTGTTGCTGTATCTGTCTGCCTCAACATGTTCACCAGACAGTAATGTGGTGTTGCTGTCTCAATGTCTGCCTCGACATGTTCACCAGACAGTAATGTGGTGTTGCTGTCTCAATGTCTGCCTCAACATGTTCACCAGACAGTAATGTGATGTTGCTGTCTCAATGTCTGCCTCAACATGTTCACCAGACAGTAATGTGATGTTGCTGTCTCAATGTCTGCCTCGACATGTTCACCAGACAGTAATGTGGTGTTGCTGTATCTGTCTGCCTCGACATGTTCACCCGACAGTAATGTGGTGTTGCTGTCTCAATGTCTGACTCGACATGTTCACCAGACAGTAATGTGGTGTTGCTGTATCTGTCTGCCTCGACATGTTCACCAGACAGTAATGTGGTGTTGCTGTCTCAATGTCTGCCTCAACATGTTCACCAGACAGTAATGTGGTGTTGCTGTCTCAATGTCTGCCTCGACATGTTCACCAGACAGTAATGTGATGTTGCTGTCTCAATGTCTGCCTCAACATGTTCACCAGACAGTAATGTGGTGTTGCTGTATCTGTCTGCCTCGACATGTTCACCCGACAGTAATGTGGTGTTGCTGTTTCAATGTCTGCCTCGACATGTTCACCAGACAGTAATGTGGTGTTGCTGTATCTGTCTGCCTCGACATGTTCACCAGACAGTAATGTGGTGTTGCTGTCTCAATGTCTGCCTCAACATGTTCACCAGACAGTAATGTGGTGTTGCTGTCTCAATGTCTGCCTCAACATGTTCACCAGACAGTAATGTGATGTTGCTGTCTCAATGTCTGCCTCAACATGTTCACCGGACAGTAATGTGATGTTGCTGTCTCAATGTCAGCCTCGACATGTTCACCAGACAGTAATGTGGTGTTGCTGTATCTGTCTGCCTCAACATGTTCACCAGACAGTAATGTGGTGTTGCTGTCTCAATGTCAGCCTCGACATGTTCACCAGACAGTAATGTGGTGTTGCTGTATCTGTCTGCCTCAACATGTTCACCAGACAGTAATGTGGTGTTGCTGTCTCAATGTCTGCCTCGACATGTTCACCAGACAGTAATGTGGTGTTGCTGTATCTGTCTGCCTCGACATGTTCACCAGACAGTAATGTGGTGTTGCTGTATCTGTCTGCCTCGACATGTTCACCAGACAGTAATGTGGTGTTGCTGTCTCTGTCTGCCTCGACATGTTCACCAGACAGTAATGTGGTGTTGCTGTATCTGTCTGCCTCGACATGTTCACCAGACAGTAATGTGGTGTTGCTGTCTCTGTCTGCCTCAACATGTTCACCACACAGTAATGTGGTGTTGCTGTCTCAATGTCCTCATTTCTATATTGCCCAGGAAAGTGAGAAAGCCATGAGTAAACTTATGTCTCCTATTTCTAAAATAAGAGGAGGATTCTTTTGAAGAGTTCAAGAATTACAATTTTTTTAAAGAGCTTTTTAAAAGCGAGTACTACAAAAGCATGATTGCCCTTTAAATTATGAACCCAACAGTCTGAAAGCATATATGCTGACTACATCCTGTACTTGGACTAGCTCTTGTTAGATATTTATTCTGAATCTGATACATTGAACAGCCTCTGAAATCACTATTTTAAGACAACCAAATATTGCTGATGGTTATTAAATAACTACTGATGCTTGTTATCAAAGACAAGTAACATTTGTTGGGTACTTCTTAACAAGTGTTCACTTCTTTGATTTGCTGTACAGTTGTGCTGGAAGAATTCTCAAAATCCTTTTATTACATAGTAAGTGACTGTTCATAGTGTTCTTTGACGATAATGCTAACTTTGATCAAATACATTTATTAACAACAATCTCATAATATTTCATTCTGCTTATTTGTTATCGAAATCTGGGTGCAGGAGCTGCACATTCTGAGAATTAGTGAAATCAGATGTGCACTAGGCCTCAAGACTGGCAGTGAATATAAATTGTCAATGGAAGAGAATAACCATCCTAGATTTTCGGATGAAACGGATTCCATTTGGCGTAAAGGGAAAAATAGCCGTGGAATTTGTATGAATGGGCCACTGAAAATCAGTGATGACCCCAGGTGTTCGCGAAAAGGGTAAGACATGTTTTAAGTCTGTTGAGTGGTGAGTAAGTAGTGTGTCTTCTGTTTCATGTGACCAGAACGGTGATGTGTGTATCTCCATCCTGCATCCCCCAGTAGATGATCCTCAAAGTGGAGAGCTTCCGTCAGAAAGATGGAATCCCACACAGACTGTCAGGTAGTATAAATAGATCATCACACGTTCACACATCAACCTGGGCAACTCCATATTAGAATTAGTCCCAAGTACCATGTAGAGGCAACTTAATGGATGGCGTGGTCAGTTTGGCGCATAAAACATACCCTGACAACTTGCATTGTTGCTTGACCAGTGAAGATTCCAGGTAGAACAGGTCTTCAGCAACCATTGCCTGCTGTATCAGGTGACTGTGCTTGTCATAAGGGGCGACTAACGGGATCGGGTGGTCAGACTCGCTGCCTTGGTTGATGCATGTCATCATATCCCAATTGTGTGGATAAATGCTCACTAGGGCATTGAGTTAGCGATTTTGATATGTATAATCTATATTTATTGCTAGCCCTAATGCGTATGATGTAAATCACTGGATTGTCTGGTCCAGACTCGATTATTTACAGACTGCCGTCATATAGCTGGAATATTTGAAGCAGAAACATCTTGGGTATCATCACAACTATGACTACATGTCCTATGTTTGCAAATTCGTGACTTTCAGCCAATGAAAGACGTTCAAAGTAAAATGAGATGCATAAGGCAAAGAAAATCCTATTTTAGACAGTCTTCCATAATTATATATAATAAACCCATCTACATGAAGGTACAGCAATGTTACACCGTGCGTACATGGAGCTCAGAGAATTTGTGATGCAACTCGTATTAACTTGTCCTAGAGCTTTAGAAAAGAGTTTTACTTTTCTTTTTTAGATTTTTTTGTGTAGGAAAACCCATACCTTCTGATAGTTTGCTTAAAGTACATGACAGATCTAAGTGGGATATATCTTAGTTTGATCAACAAGTTCAAGAAAATAGTCTTGGTTACAAACAATCTTAGTAAAATCAGATCTTAGTTCTCGCTGCCACTAAACAAAGATCTTACGCTTCGGACATTCCATTATCCCATCAAAATTGCCACCTATCTTCCATTTCAATAGAGCAAACATTTGAAACAAAAGACTTTCCATAGCCCATTGGAATAACTGCTAGACAATATCAGGCCATCATTTAGAATCTTGAAATTTCTTTAGTTAGTTTCAATTTTATTCTATTTCATAGTCTGGAATAGAAGTTGCCAGTTTGAAACTAGTGCCGTAAGGCTCAAGAAAACTGTTGTCTGGATAATATTGACTTCTTGTTTGTCATTTCTTTGGTTGGTTAGAGTTGGCAAAAGGTTATGATGTGCCCTGTAATGGGTAGGTGTGTGCAATATAACTGGTGTACTGGTATATTGCAATACGGCTGTCAGCAATACACGCATCATAATGCAACCCTTGCATATCAATATTGTAGGATACACTCACAGAAGAATTACCCCAATACGTATTGCAAATTATGTCACTATACAGTTCTCCATATTGAGATGCATTGCAATATGATTCATGTGCCAATATGCCAACCCTAGTAGTGCAATGTCCAGTCTTTATGCAGTGGTTGCGAGCACTAAGATCTGATTTTAGTGAGATTGGGTTACTAGTAATTAATATACTTTACATTGGTTTGCAGGTCTTACGGCCTTGACTATATGACATTTCCTGCATTTTAGAACTGTTCTGCTGAGCATCATATCCCTGTTGAACGAGCCCAACACCTTCTCTCCTGCCAACGTCGATGCCTCCGTCATGTTCAGGAAATGGAGGGAGTCCAAAGGCAAGGACAAGGAATACGAGAACATCATCAGGTGAGTTGGCGTGATGTGGTATCATCCCGTGTAGGAATTTGTTTCCAAAGTTCACAATAAATGTTGCAAGCCCTCATCATATTTTACTAGCCCAAAACACTTCCGATAAACTACAAAATGAAAACAAAAATGACAACAGACTTTGAAATTTCCAGCAGGGGCACACCAGAAATAGGCTTGACACACAAGTAGTCATAGGGGATTCGGACCAGGTGGTCTGACTCCACATTGAAGTGTCTTTAAAGTATTATACATTCTGCCTGATGACTACAGTTAATCTGATCAATATCTGTGTGATACTAAAAACTGACTCAGTGCTGATTATCATTTGTCCATGTTAAATTCCCTGTTTACAACCGAGATGTGTTGAGGGTGTATATGCTTGGTTGGTGAACATTTCAAGACTTGTGATTGATTCATTAAAGCAATGAATGATCGATCATGGATGAAACAAGGAACATATACATCTCTCATACATTTCCGTACATTTCTCAGTTTTTTAAATGTATAGAAACAATACATATAATTGTAAAACTTCTGTTCCCTGCAAGACAGCAACATTTGCTTGGAATAATTACTTTGCTGTAGTCCTTGTGATTCTGCAGCAACCAGTGCTGCTTGTAACTTGACGTAAGATGCAACTTAATGGATTTGGTGATCAGACCTGGTGTCTTGGTTGATTGCATGTCATGTTACCTGAACAGGATGACGTAAGATGCAACTGGGTGATCAGACCTGGTGTCTTGGTTGATTGCATGTCATATTACCTGAGCAGGATGACGTAAGATGCAACTAAATGGATTGGGTGATCAGACCTGGTGTCTTGGTTGATTGCATGTCATGTTACCTGAGCAGGATGACGTAAGATGCAACTGGGTGATCAGACCTGGTGTCTTGGTTGATTGCATGTCATATTACCTGAGCAGGATGACGTAAGATGCAACGTAATGGATTGGGTGATCAGACCTGGTGTCTTGGTTGATTGCATGTCATATTACCTGAACAGGATGACGTAAGATGCAACTGGGTGATCAGACCTGGTGTCTTGGTTGATTGCATGTCATGTTACCTGAGCAGGATGAAGTAAGATGCAACTGGGTGATCAGACCTGGTGTCTTGGTTGATTGAATGTCATGTTACCTGAGCAGGATGACGTAAGATGCAACTGGGTGATCAGACCTGGTGTCTTGGTTGATTGCATGTCATATTACCTGAACAGGATGACGTAAGATGCAACTGGGTGATCAGACCTGGTGTCTTGGTTGATTGCATGTCATGTTACCTGAGCAGGATGACGTAAGATGCAACTGGGTGATCAGACCTGGTGTCTTGGTTGATTGCATGTCATGTTACCTGAACAGGATGACGTAAGATGCAACTGGGTGATCAGACCTGGTGTCTTGGTTGATTGCATGTCATGTTACCTGAGCAGGGTGACGTAAGATGCAACTTAATGGATTGGGTGATCAGACCTGGTGTCTTGGTTGATTGCATGTCATATTACCTGAGCAGGATGACGTAAGATGCAACTGGGTGATCAGACCTGGTGTCTTGGTTGATTGAATGTCATGTTACCTGAGCAGGATGACGTAAGATGCAACTGGGTGATCAGACCTGGTGTCTTGGTTGATTGAATGTCATGTTACCTGAGCAGGATGACGTAAGATGCAACTGGGTGATCAGACCTGGTGTCTTGGTTGATTGAATGTCATGTTACCTGAGCAGGGTGACGTAAGATGCAACTTAATGGATTGGGTGATCAGACCTGGTGTCTTGGTTGATTGCATGTCATGTTACCTGAACAGGATGACGTAAGATGCAACTGGGTGATCAGACCTGGTGTCTTGGTTGATTGCATGTCATGTTACCTGAACAGGATGACGTAAGATGCAACTGGGTGATCAGACCTGGTGTCTTGGTTGATTGCATGTCATGTTACCTGAACAGGATGACGTAAGATGCAACGTAATGGATTGGGTGATCAGACCTGGTGTCTTGGTTGATTGCATGTCATATTACCTGAACAGGATGACGTAAGATGCAACTTAATGGATTGGGTGATCAGACCTGGTGTCTTGCTTGATTGCATGTCATATTACCTGAACAGGATGACGTAAGATGCAACGTAATGGATTGGGTGATCAGACCTGGTGTCTTGGTTGATTGCATGTCATGTTACCTGAACAGGATGACGTAAGATGCAACTGGGTGATCAGACCTGGTGTCTTGGTTGATTGCATGTCATATTACCTGATACCTCATTTCATTCATTGGAATTTTTGGTCTAGGCTCATTTTTTTGCAGACCTTATCATGTAGATTCAGTATTGCTGAGCGTACTTAACAACAAACAAATACTTCAAACCATGTCAGTATCTATTGTCAAACTTGCAACATATTCCACTCAACAGGTAAAAACAAACTAACCTGGTCAGAAAATAATCAAAAATAAAAGTTTATGCCATTCCTACCAACAATTGATGAAATTGATTGATATGAATAATACTTGTTGAAGCAGGCCGTACTCCATCACCAAAGTCAAGTTATTTGAATGACCTGAAAACATGGAAAGGGATCAATTTCGGGTATATACTAGCTTTATGTAAGACAATAATCCAACCCTCATTTCACAAAGCAATATGGCTATTTTATGTCCCATACATTAACAAGGACGAAAGGTGTAGTACTAAGATTCGATTGGTTGAATATTGCCCAGGGAATAGTATGATAGTATAAGTGATCAAAACAATCATTCTTGAGTACTGTCATATTGAATTTGTCATCTTCGTCCATATTTCAGCCATTCCCTGCATGTATCTTTCAGATATATTTCTGGTGTTCTGTTGTTTGAAAATATCTGTTACTTATATTTTTGCATATCTTGTTTACTATTGTGTCATGATCTCTATGATCTTATGTTGGGAATATTGGATAAAAATTCAGGTGAGGTTTGTGACTATTTTCACCTTGTGTCCAACATCTTTTGACTCGATACAAATTTACATGCACCCCAGATATACTCTGAATATGATTCAGGATAAACTATCTTTAAAACTTCAAAGTAAACTTTTGTTGATAAAATCATGCACATGAAATATAAATGATTCACGTTAACTTTTGTATTCCTTGTTGAATAGAAAACAAGTGACAGCAACTCGGGAGGATGCAGAGCGTGACAGTGTGCGTGTGCCCACCACGCTGCAGGAATACTGTGTTACAGCCAAGCCGGCCACCGACAATGCTGTCGATGTAGACTTCTACGATGATGATTATGTAGATGATATGGACGATGAAGAGGAAATGTATGAAGATGATGATGATGATTCTGGAAATGAAGAATCCTGATGTTAGTCTTCTATGCAGGACTGCAACTATTACACTCACTGTTACACACTCAAATACAAAATTCTTCAAATTCAAAATTTGTGCAGGGGGCCAAGAAGCTCCAGGAAATGTCTCTAGTGTTTTTTCAAGTGAACACATGTTCTGCTATGTGGCTTTGGTTTTGAGGTGTTCTTTAATGCATCTGGCACTATGGTTAAGCTGAGGGATGCAATGCCAAGTACGAGCTTTGCAAGAGTTCCTAAAGCTGGACTAGTCCTGATAATACTGGGTTGTGATCATAGTCCAAGTGTGCTGGTGGTGATAGTTTAGTCAGTGGAGAAAGGCAAAGATGGAGCTTGTGTCAGTGCCATCATGCCGTAAGGTTGAGCAGCCACACTGACAATTTCCTGATTCACATGGTGCAATAATCCAAGTGCTTATAAACATACAATCCATTAATTTATCCATGTTTGTTAAGTTGTTTTCGTTTCATAATTCCGATTTCAATAATATGCTGTAAATAGTTGTAGGTGCTGGTGTGAGTACCAGAGATTGAGACTTGTTTGGAGGCAGGCTGTAGTTTCCCCTGTTAGCTGGTGTGGCTGCTCAGCCTAGAGTTGATGGTGGATGGGAACCCAGTAGCATTGTACAACCATAATGAGACCAAACTTGACCACTTCAAAAGATGAAAACACGAAGAATTTTTATACCTGACTAAGCCATGGTGTGTGTTGCTCAAAGGGTTGATTCATGTTACGATAAAGGTTCTTGCCCTTCCCGTGTAAAAAATATCAGAATGTAAAAAATCCTATTCCGAGTTTGTATACATTTTATGTACTTTTATGTGAATCAATCTTTAAAAATTGAACAAAAAAAGTTTTATTGTACAGAGATGGTGGCCATTGAGCAACTGAAGCTGTAAATTGCGAGGTCGTTTGGTCTACAGTAAGTTGGTACAGATGGTGCCACAGATGTGTACAGTGTATCCCCGCCACTTGTGCTTGTTCCTAAGCATGCAAGTTATTTGGATGAAAATTAATTCTGTTGTGTATATGGGTGTGTGTCTGTATGTATCAGTTTGCGTGGGTGTGAATGTGCGGGTGTTGTTATCACTTGGTATAAATGTACAGTTTGTAAATTCTACTATTTAATTTCCCTCACTCTTGCGCCCTGTTCCTCTCCTTTAGTTCTGTATTCTGGGTTATCTCCCTTCCATAACAGTCCGGATTATCCTCCATGTTTAACAGACACATCTTTTAATTCCCAGTGTTTAGATCTGTAAAAGTTTTGCTCTTGTTTTCACCATGCCTGACTGTTTCAGTGTGATGCACTAGGCAATGTAGTTATGATGCAAAGGGGGTTAATTCATTGTCCTTTGATGAGTTGTTTCCCTTCCAGCCTATGTTGGACACAGCACAAATGACTTTATTAAGCATGTGGTTCAGTGGCAACACCAACTCTGCAATCATGTAACACTGCCTGATATGACACAGGGTCTTACGTCATGGTTAACTACACACTGCAACCTCATCATCATTGTCTTTTTTAATACATTGTAGCTTTTGATCTACTAAAACATTTGAAAAAACAATTTCCTAAAGTATAAGGTTTTCAAAGTTGTGCAAGTTGAAGCCAAAGATAAGTTAACACTTGCTTTTTTTATATTAAATCCTGTATGTAGCCAAATGATGTCAACTTCATGACAATACGCAGCATAGACCTTTGAACGTGTTCCTGTTGAACAATCTCATTACTTCATCATTCCTATATTGTAGTTGTCTTTCTGAACAGAAACATTCAATGTGCATCACTTTGCATTTTTTGGTGACAATATGCAACATGTCCACTGTTTCAATCACTAGGAACAAGTGATGGAACGAGTGACCCCAAGTTAAACTGATCTGTCCATGAAGTCACCCTCCAAAACATGCTTGTCCCATAATCTTTGTTTCTTCATGTCATGGATTTGATGAGGATAACTGACTGTCATGTCAGATGAGTGAGGAATATCGATGGCCTTAACTCTTGAGAAATGTAGATCTCTTTGATATATTTGTACATGTATATTTATGATATATAAAATGACACACATGCTTCTCAGTCATAAGGAAATGAAGATGTTTATTTGGATTCTATGATTTAAAAATTGAACTTTGGAAACTTCAAAACATTTTACATTTAAATAAAAGACCATTACTCAACCACTTGATGCTCAGGATATTCAGTTTCTTAACACCTGGTAATAAATAATCTACTAGCCACTCCTATGTTGGAACTTGCTTTACCACCTTCTACTATGTTAAAACTTGCTTTCCCACCTCCTACTATGTTGAAACTTGTTTTCCCACCTTTTAAGTTCGTCATGTTATAATTTTGTTTCTATTTATCATGTTTATCAAGTCTTGTTTCATGATTCATATGTGTCATCTCATCTGTATAGTATGCTTGAGAGGGTTTGATATCATCAAATAATAAACATTTGAATAAAAAAATGGTTAATTATTTAAAGTTTGCATTTATTGTCATTGTTTTTTATCTTTATTCTTAAAAAATTCCCCCTTTAATGAGTTTGGTTGAATTTGAGCTCCGATGCCTCCTTTGGCACAGTTTGTTTTCTCAACCACATGCTTTATAATATGACAGATGTTGGAGACGTCATACCTGATATACTGCCTATATACTCGTCCTGTGGAGAACTGGGTTGGAATAGGTCTCCGGTTTACTGTAATAGGCGACTATACTTGTAGGGGATTGGGTGGCAGGGTCGCTGGCTTCGTTCATACATGTCATCGTATCCCAATTACGTGGATGGATGCTCATGATGTCATCCTCTGGATTGTCCGGTCCAGGCTTGATTATTTACAGACCACTGAAATATTGCTGAGTGCAGTGTTAAACAACAAACAAACATATGTCATCTCTGTGTCAAATGTCAAGGTCAGTTTGTAGGCCATTCCCTCATGAAATGACATGTAAAGAGTTTCATTCAGGCAGTATTGGCAGTTTGATATGGAGACTTCATAGCTGTAGCACCACCTAATACCCCGTTCACATGCACATTTACTAACTCAAGTAATTTTACACAAGCGTAACTATACATACCTGCGTATATGTAAATTTACTATGCGTTCACATGAAAAGCATCGTAGGTGTGTAAATAAAGTATGTGAATTGTGTAAGACACATATTCGTCAGTCTGTTCACGACTTTCAACACAAAACAGGTTGTTTTCCAATCAAAGTTGAACGAGAAGAGAGTTACTTCACCGAAGATTTTTGCGTGAAGCAACGTGTTTGATTTGATTTGTACGCATGGCTTTGAATCCCCGAAACCAAAAGAAAACACTGTCCGCTCAACTCTGTACTGGGTGAAAATCTCAACACTGTAACAATTTCCCACTTGACCTGTACATTAGAAGTGTGTTTGCAGAAATGTATTTTAAAATATTTGATTTCCTTTTCAAGGCTATTCACAAGTAGATTACCTTTCTTCAAATGTAAAATGCTAAAAAATGTACTTTCAAGTTAATATTTGTTTGTTTATAAGCAAATATTTTCTTGATTTACTAAAAACATGGATGTCCCTCAGCTGGACCAGAATAAAAAATAATACTTAATCTATATCTAAATTATATAAAAATGTAACAAATGAACATTAATTACACGTATCCTATCATTATTATCTAAAACCTAATTGAAAAAAAATAAATTAGGAAAAAAAAGGCACTCAACACAACTCAAAAAATAACTGTGCTATGGGAGATAACTCTCATACGCTTCCTCTTTTGGCAACGTGTATGAAGATCATCTGCTGGTGATAGATAGATGCCACATTTATGTACAATGTTCAAGCCAATGACGTCAAGATATGTCTGTTAAGTACAGTATGTTTTCTAAGCCTCAACTCTGTTACACTGTCTATAGATCTATATCTCATTCTAATTTCCTTCACTTTTCCAAAAGAAATTGGTTAGTAAGACCATGTTAGCAGTGAGTATTTTAATTTCCATAAAAAGCAAAGCATGGTGGGATATGAGCCATATATAATAAGGTTTCTCAACTCCGTTACACTCAACTCTGTGATGCTGTACAGCGTAACGGAGAGGAAACATTTGTGCATCTGCACAATTTCGATAGTTATTGACAGTACATAGCTTTGTTCTTCAAGAATATTTTATTTTATTTTAACCCTATACCGGAAAAATAATTTTCCCACAGTCTGTTGAAAGAATTTTTTTTTAAAATAGTCATTCGGACTGCTCTGTTTCTGATGAACAAGATGTTAGGACCTGTGCAAAATGTGGATTTGATACTATTGATAGCGCTCTTTCAGACAGTGGACCAATTATTTAAGACAGAACTGTTGTCTTTTACATTGATGGGAGTGCCCTGCTATTGTGTTTGGGCTGCAGAAAGCAATTTCATTAAGCATGTATAAACAACATATTTTCTGACAGTGTTGATGTTATGATTGATCTGGAATTTGATCTTTACAATTGTGAGTTTTGTAACTATATTATAGTGATCTAAAATTGCATTTTAAGCAACTTTGTGCTTATTTATTTCAAGGTCTATACAAAGGGTTGAACATTAGTAATTTAGTAGACCAACTTTTGTATGCCATTACTGCAGTAACTGGCTTATAAACCTAAGTACCAAAGTCCTAACAAGGTTGTTATTTTATGCTACAGAGGAATAACAAAATATATGAGTTACAACTCCGTTACAACAAACTCAACTCTGTTACGTCAGGATTTTTTTAATAGATGACTTCTTTTGACAACTGACGAAAAACTTTGTTGTTTTTATGAGTTTTAACTTTAGATTAGGATTATTGATAATATATGCTGTGACAAAAGATGAAAAATACTATATTTTGGATACCGTTTCATGTAAATGACTTTGTTGTCTAGGCAAACTTTTGAAATATGGAGCGAGCACTTACAAATGTCCAATCATACATTTTATTCAGCCAGTTTCCATTTGTATTAACACTGAATTGTATTCACACTTAAAATTAATTGCTGAATATGATTTTATATTTCAAAGCAACCTAGCGCTTTTACAATTACTTTCCATTTTGTGATCTGTAATGGAGTTGAATGTCCTAGCGGATTAGGCTAATTCATTAATTATTTTCTAATTAATTAAACACATCACTGCACTGCATTGAACTAGAAAGTAATTCTCAAGTATCATATTCTGTAATATCAAGAGAAAAATTATATTAGGGGACACTATTATTTTTGCAAGTTGATAATCAGAAAATTTGTCGGTTTTGAGATTTTTACTCTACTATATATACACAAAAAATGTCTTTCATAGTGTCAAAGTTGAGGTGTTGACTGGCTCTGTAATTTGCAGGTCGTGTTGTGCCTTCCATCGGGCCTTTGGCAGAAACTTCTTGATGGTGTTTCCGCCAGCTCATCTGTTAAATCACCCAAAGTGTCCCCCAGTGGTGGATTCTATTCCTCTGGGCGATGGACATAAATGACACTGTCCCTGTCGAGGTATAAGAATCTGCCACCCAGTGGCTTTAGGATGCTGTACAGCTTGAGACACGCTTGTGCGGTGACCCAAGCAGCCACGGCGACATTGGCATTAGTATGGGGTGTGTGGAATTCTTTCTTGGGGGTATAGTTCACCAAAACCATATGTCACCAAGACCATGACATCGTTAATGGTATTTCTTTCAACAGAGCAAAGTACTTTGCATGAGTGTCTGACCATAGCCTAAGCGCTGACCGAACTGATGTTGGCCTTGTTGAGGATGATGCCTTCTTTCTGATATATGTCTTTGATGTAAGCATCAGGATCGGTACAACCCTCAGGGTATCCACTGGCTTCGGTCTTTAACTTGAAAAAATGGTCGACATACTGGCAAAGAGTCCTCCTTGCTGGGTCTCAGGGTCATACGTGTCAAAGGTGTCGAAAGCTTCATAGATCTGAATCACTTTGTAGCCACGCTGCTTCACAGCTTCTTGGACTTCTAGGGTGGTGTACGTGCCAACCCAAGCACTTCATCCGTGTGCTCACATGACACCTCTGACAGGGTTTTGGCACAAATACGGCACAAAGGAAAGAGCAGTTTTCCACCCGATCTGAATGACAGTAGAGGATGGTAGAGTTGTGCCGGTGGTAGGATACGTCATTGCATAAGGCCATGCAGATCAAACAAGGTCTCCACAGGAGGATGGTCCCGAAGGGTAGGGTGTCCTGTGGGAAAGGTACCATACTTGCAAATGTTGGGATAAAATGAACAGACATCGACATACCGGATTGTTTCACCTTCTTGGGCCTCATAGTATAATTGGGTGGCATTGGTTCGTCCACTATAGAAGGCCTCACGAGGGTCAAGCAGGTCAAGTAAGTCGTCACAGTGTGGTCCATGCAAGAAAAGGCCCAAAGCTTGGTCTGCCCATTGCTGGGCTTTAAAGTCACATTCCCACAAGGTGACGATACGTTTCACATCAGGGTGTTGGTTCAAGAGGGTCAGGCGAAACTGGGTCTTGCCATAGCGTACACCCATAGAAGTGCCCAGGACAGAATGAGGTGCTCCACGTGCGGTCTTGTAACAGGTGGGGCACCCATGCCAGAAACAGCCCATGAATTCAAAGAAGGTGCCTGTAGCTTGATCGTATCCATCCACACTGTAATGATGCCTACCCTCTGCACACGTGAAAGTCTCTTCACCCTCATTTCTGGCATGCTGTATGTGCAGATCTGAAGTGGTCTTCATGAGATAGCGATGCAAACAGGCCAGGGAATAGCCTCTCTCAGGTCGGTAGCCTTGAGGTTGGATAATGGCAATGTTTTTTTGTTTCAGGAAGAGTTTTTGAGCATGCCCCGGGCAGTGTCACTGCCTCTGCAAAGAGATCCACATCGCACTGCTCCATAAATAACTGTAGGAAGGAAGCACATCCACGCCTCAAAATAACGACATCACGACAGTAGGTTTAGAGTTCTTCTTGCAAGTCAAACAAGGCTCCTTCTTGAACTTTCTTGGTATTCCACTGGAGGAAGGTGGTGCGTTCAGTGGGAGACATAACTTCAGGATCGTATATGACTGCTGGTGGTTAGGGACCTCCATAGATCTGTTAGCCTGGGCATTCAACAAGTGAGGAAACTACCCTTTCTTCAGTTCAGCCAGGGCAAAGGTCTCTGGAAATACTTTCAGTGGCATGGTCAGGAAATTCAAACTGTCTTTGAAACACAATCGTCCCACTTTCATCTGTTAAATCTGTTGCCCTTTCAGTATCATGTTTGGGGTTTTCACCAGATGCGGGTGTATGGACTTAATGATCGAGTGTCCATCATACCCCCGTGCATTATGATCAATCACATAAATGACTTCATCCTCATCAAGCGGCAGGGCGGGTGTGTCCACCTCCATGGGATCCTCCTCCTCCTCTTCCTCCTCCAAGAGGGGCAGGCGTGTCAACCTCCATGGGAAGATGTGCTGCTGCTCCCTCGGTGCTTCATCCTCCTCAGGGTGTGTCCTCTTGGTTTTTTCG